TTTTAGTTACTACTATTAACTAGCAACAATTAGTTAACAAATTAGTAAGTAATAGCACTCATTTGAATGCTATAGTTCACTATTAGCTAATCAATACCTACTATTTTTTTCATACCTCCAAAAGAACTACTACTATTCTATTACTGTTTTGTTGCACTGTGGGTAAAGAGAGAATCTGTGGGGGAAAAAAGAGGTGCATTGGTTGTTGTATTTAATATTTATTGTTCTGAGGATTGAACCAACGTCTGATTTTTAGAGTGATTCTCAACATAATTAGCCTCCTTTTTTGACATGAAATTACTTTAGCCTCTCTCTGCTTATCTTGTCCTCTCTGCGGCTCCTCTTTAAAAAAACTAGTCACAGCTGGTCTGGGGGACAGACAAATGGAGCTTAGAACAAATAGTCAATCTGAGTTGCCCATTTCTTCACTTACAGATGTATTGTATCAGTGTTAATTTGATCTATAACATTTTAAATCTGTCTAGTAATCTTGGATTGAAACTATTCTTTGTCTAGTAATCTTGGATTGAAACTATTCTTTGTTGCATTATTCCAAGTCTGTAAATTAATGGCAACCTGTAAATTACATAGACATGGTTATTTAGAAATGAATGTTCACGCCAAATTGTATTCTTTGAGTCCAGCCACCTTTTCTTGTCCTTGCCAAATGTATTGTGAAGGAAGAGAAACCTAGATGGGTTTTGCACTGCAGTCTTTGCATTCCTTCAGTCTTACTATGCTACAAATGATTATCAGTTTCTCAACCCTTTTATGAGCACAACCAAGCACAGCCATTAGGCCCACCCTCCATATAAAGAGGTGTGATCTATTTGTTCACATGAGCTGGTGTGTAACAGTTGACTTTTAAATCAGGTGAGAAATCAGTACCAGTACCAGTCAGTATCAGTACCAGTTTTGGATAGTACCTAGAACCCATATTGGGGAACACTTGAATAAAACTAGAAAAGAGCATGAGAACAACAACAAAAACCATTGAGCTGGAGGCAATTCATCACCAATCCATAGTTGTTTGGGCCATAACAAATACTCTTGGGGAATGGTTCTCCAACCACATCTGAAAGTTGCTGCTCTTAGGAGTATTTGGGAAGAGAAATGGTGGTTCACTGGGTTTAATCTCAGGTTGTCACGATGGTTTGGTAAGTCTAGAGGCTTTTCTCTCACCCTCTGTGTTTTTTTTTTTTTTTTACTTTGGATCATTAGAAGCAATTGGAAAACTTGGCATTTCTACCTTCCAAGAAAAGGATTGAATGACCCTGCTTTCAAATTCAGAGTCTTCAGAATCTTCTACAGTAGGTCTCTGACTAGTGGTCATTTAAAATAATATAGGATTTATTGAAGAGTTTTTTTGCGTTATTGAGTTTGCTTTGGTACATTCTTAACTAGACTTTAATTTAGAAGGCCGGTAGGTAGAGCATTGCAGTAGTCCAGTCTTGAAATGATGAGTTTGGACAAGGAGCTATAAGCTCTGATTGTCCTGATGTTGTACAGCGCAAATCTTCATGACCTGACCATTGTTGAAATGCTCAGTTGGTCATCAGACAATATCCTTTCTAGGTTCTAGGGATTACAAGGAGCTCTGTATTCGCAAGGTTGAGCTAGAGATGATGCTTCTTCATTCGAGGCGAGATCAGTCATGATGTTGTTGGTCATCTTGTCATTCTTTCTTGCCTAACTCCAAATCTTTTAGCTTTAAACTTTGAGTCCTTTGACCTGCATCATCAGCCAAGGATGCCAATCATCTGTAAATCAAAACAGTGCTATCGTAACCTAAAACCAGTCATTCTGAAAACCAAAACAATATGGTGGTGAGCAACTGGTTTATATGAGAAGCCTGTCTGTGAACCTCAACCAGATGTGGCTCCTACACTGTAAAAATGCTTTATGCTATCAAGTGGGACTATTAAATCATTTCACAATTATATGGTCTGTCTTCAAATGTTTCAAATGTCACAATGAGTTGACCAAAGCTCTTTTAAGCATTCCTGGTAGAGATAATGTCTGTTCCAAATCTTAGTGAGCTGCTTTCCTGCTACTGTCTACATAGACAGCAACTCTGCGTGCCACACAAATTGTGCCCCTTATATGAACAGAAGATTTGATTAGCAATTAATTCTCTTGGAGTTCCAGTCATAGATATGTATACGTAGATGCACCATTCAAACCGCTCCAGACACGTAGGCGCGCCCTCCATCTTGCAACGGTCAGCGTGTCGTCACTCACAGTAAGAATCAATGATGCCACAAAATAGCACAGCTTCTGGTTGTGAAACCACCGAGATTTAAATTCCCAAAGGTGAGAATGTGTTGGGTTGTGTTTTTATAGGTATTAACTCAATATTACATGTTTTTACTGTAGTACTTTTAATGTTTTTACTTGTACTATGGTAACTTTTTAACGTCATGTCAGCTGATGCCTTCGTCTTGTTGTATTGTGTTAGTTTAGCAAAATCATCTGCTGGAGTCCATTTCATATATATAGATATTCATACATGCGTCTAACTACTGTTGCAGACGCTCAGTCAACTTGCTCTCGAATGTTCACGGACCGCTCCAATATGGCGAACGGCTTACATAAAGCGCCCCATTGAAACGGCCACTAATAAGGTATCTATGGTTCATGATACTCTAAGCATATAATGTGGTGTAAATTAGTCAATTTAATATAAAAAAAAAATTCATAAAGTATTTATCTGACCTCGACCGACATCTTGGATTTTATTTTTGTGAGAGTCTAATAATACATTCTGAAATTGCCTTAAAATACTAACTAGGTAAGCAGCTCTGAAAGTTTGGCCACTAGACAAATGATCATACTTCATAAAAGAACAACTGAACATCCAGTCAAGACATTGTACAAAATAGAGTTAGAGTTAGTCTAAAGCTGTAGTGCATTTATTCACACAAAGCAGTTTGGCTCAAGAAATGTGGTTTAAAAAATGAAGCCATATTATTTGTTTTATTGACGTTGTTAATTTGTAAATGCTTGTCCATTTCCATAGACTAGGCTTAATTCTTTTTTTACACACACAATATCATTGACCTCCCTCCAACGGTTTGGAGATATAGAGGTGAAAGTCCAGTGTAAAGGGGATGGGCTGGCAGGTGACGTCAGTGCTGTTGGAAAGTGTTTACTTTCAAAATGCTCGTATGGAAATGAAGGGTGAAAAATTTGTTTCCTCCTTCTGTCCTGCTGTTGACCTCAAGTTCACTTTTATATGCTGGAAGATGCCGACTCTGAGCAAGTATGGGTTTATTGTTTGTCAGTCTTTTGACAGGTTTAATGAATCTTAATTTGGACCTTAAGAAAGTGCTCTTAAGAACGTATCTGTGAAGGCTGTAATTTAATGAGAAACTCTTCATGTCACATTTCCTCAGGACAAATGAAGTACATATTAAAAAATGTTTTGTACAATAAATCAGGTTTATATTAAGGCGAATACTCCATTAGCTAATATTGTCTTTTTGTTAGGTTCAGTTCTGATCAATGTGGTTGTGAGATCATTCCCTAGCTGGTCAGAGTCTATTAATGTGCTTTGCATTATTACTGTTCAGGCTCTTCCTATTCCTAATCTTTTGACATGCACAAAATATGATGCATGCATGCATTCCTGTCAAACTGAACAGTAGTTTTGGATGAATGTCTACTGTGAATTTCTAATCGCAATTGCTCCTCTTTATAGCTAACAGACTTATTATGTGCATGCATGGTTTAGGAAAGGATGAGTAATTTCATATTTAACCAGATACCAACCTAATTAAACAGGACTTTCCTAATACTTCTGATTTGTTTGCTCTTTCAGGTAACCTGCTGACTGTTCAATTTTGCAGTTATGACAATACATACCCAAGTAATGTCAACTCTTTGTAAATGCTAATATTGATAATCCCTTGTGCACCATTTAGTTTAAGCATTTAAGCAATAAGTAAAAATTTCCATTGTCTTGCTTCATAAACTAGCTTTTGAGCTATGTGTTGTGTATTTTGTGTAAAGATATTACATAATAGCTAAATACTCTAAATACTCTAATAGCTAAAGTCTTACTCTTATACAGAGTCTGACACAAAGATTTCATAAGATGGGTGTGCAGAGAACTACAATCATTGAGTAAGACACTTTCATGTGTTGTTTGTCTATTTACATTATGTACTATAATTCATGTTACACTTTTGTAAAATTATATTGAATGTCATGAACAAAAATAGTGTTCATAAAAGTTAGTTAGGTGTGAATGGTATGACCAAAATCTTATGCATAACTTTCGCGAGCACTCAGCTTGATTAAATTAAAGGCACAATCCCGTGTCTGTGACCATAATGACACCTGCAGTGATTACCAAACTGTGATGAGCCAAATAGAAAGTGACTATTAAAGAATAGCTGAGCATCAGTTCACAAATAAAATGTACACTGCCTTCTCGTTCAAGTCCTAAAGCTTACACCAACTTTTTAAGCTTTATACTTGGTTTTAATAAATATGCAATATAGTACATAATGTAAACATAAAAAAAATACTACTGGTATACTACTAATGCTACTGGTTCTTTTTTGCCTAAACCAGCAATTCAACTAAAAGAGTTTCATATCAACTACTCTTACATGTATTCGCACAGTAAACTGTAATATATCCCAGTGGAGGGCCTGAAATTAGTCAGTAAGTCCATTTGTTACTTAATTAATTGCAATTAAAGACTAGTGTTCTAATGGAAAAAGTAGTTTTAAAATCAAATGAGGTGATGTTTCAGATAACAGTATGGTGACTTTTGGCTACTTGTTAAGGATGATTAGTCATTTAAATTCACATATTGTTGCACTATTGTTGGTTTGATTCTATTGTTCTCCTCATTTGGAAGTCGCTTTGGTTACAAGTATCTGCTAAATGATTAAATGTAAATGTGTGAGAAATGCATTGTGATTGTCCGTGATGTGCAGATAATTTACTCTCTGTGTACCTTTGTCTCTTTTTTGCCATTTGTTCTTTAGAATCACCTCGGTTGTCCACTGCCTCTGTTGGCAGTAATGACCGGGCCTCCACTGCTACGCTGTCCGATTGCTCTGACTTCACAGATGTCCAGAGGCCCATAAGCGTGGTCTCCACCATCTCATCCGGGTCTGGTTCCTCTCGGGACGGCGTTCTCCTGTCAGGTATCCCATCCGCTGGTGTGCCCATTGAAGACAATGTGGATCTGGAGTTAACGCCTGCTGCCGATTCAAATGAGACTCAGGGCAATAATCTCGCCCAAGCATCCAGTCAATTTTTCCAGCAAAATAGCAGCAACACTGTTAACAACAACAGCAGCTCCTCCATTTCCAACAGTTCCTCTCCATTTGCTGCCAACACCATGGCACCCAACCCCGAGCTCACCTACTTGGACCGTGTGGTCATGGAGATCATTGAGACGGAGCGGATGTATGTGAGAGATCTGCGGAGTATTGTGGAGGTCAGCATGAGTCTTAAGCTTTACAAACATTTACAAACAACTGGGTCATTCCATGTCAAATCAACCAAATTTCTGAAACTTTCCCAACTCAAAACAAGAATCATTTCTAGTTTCAGTATAATTTATTCTTCAGACATTCCTCTAAGTACGGTATCAGCTGTTTGAAAAGTTACCCACATTTGATTTTTTACCATTGAAAAATAGTAAAATTCAACAATTTGAACATGCAGTCACAATGTAATCTCCATTTCTATGCAGTTTAACCATATAGGACCTTAAAAATTAAGATTTCAAAAGAAAATTTTTAAATCATATTGAGATATCTATACTTTGATTTACAGGCATGTAAACTTTGGAAAAATAATATTTTTGGCACTCAGACAGGTATATTCTAGGCAATTGTGTTGATTGAAAAAAAGAAACGAGATACATTTCTAATTTCCACATTATTTGTTCTTCAGATATTCCTTTTTGAAAGAAAAAAGTATCAGATGTATGCAAAGTGACCCACATTTGGTTTTTGACCACTGAAAATGTGTACAATTGACCAATGTACTCATGCAGCTGCATTAAGATCTCCATATCTGTGGGATTGAACCATATTTCTCATCCGGCTTTTAAGATTGCTAAAGTAAACGTTGCTATCTTTCTAAAGTCAGTTTTACCCCAGAATTTTTAAGTTCATTCATGTTTATTTCATGCTATAACTAGTAAAGAGGAAGAGACGATCAGTTCACTTGCATTCCATGTTGCTGGTCAACGGCAATCTTTCACGCTACATTAAAGAGCAACATTAAAGGGTGTGAATTTTGTGATAAAATTGAAAGAATTTGAAACTGAGACCTTGTTTTTATAAAAATAACAAAGCACATAGCTTATTGAATTATTGGACAGGATGCATGCACTTTTTTCCGAATGTTTTGCATATTGGATACCCGTCTTCAACCTCTGAATAATTTTTTAGATTACCAGAATGCTCTCAAATAGCTTCTTTATTAAGCTTCTTCGGCAGATACAAGTCCGGTAGATGAGTGTTGGTTCACCATGTTTTCAATTTGAGAGTTTCATGTGCGCTGAAAGCTCATGTGCCCCATCTTACCTAGACAATCACCTAGTGAACTTACTATAGTATCAGCCTCACAGAGCATCCAGGCACGGCACACGGGTGCCGCAAGTAGTTGATCCCAGTCTGAAAGACTCAAAAATTCCAAATTCTTACGGTTTAATATCTGTGACCATCTTAATCACGGTTAATTGTGATATTGGGTAATCGTGACATCCCTAGTGCTAGATGGATATTTTTGGCCGTTTTGTTGTTTGATGTTTAAGATGAGTTTTAAACGGTAAAGTTTTTAAAAACACTTGAGACCCTGCTTTCAGTTTTCTTTTCAGTTGTTCCCTTTACTCTGTGTCAAACCCTTTAGAGATTGTTTATGGACATTTTGACATGATGACATTCTACACTTCATGAAACAAAACCCAACTAAAAAAAAAAAATGGTAAAAGCTGTTTGTGCCTCTAGTGTAGAAAGTCCCAGTAATAGAATCTTTGCAGATTTTCCTGAAATGTTGTGGTAGTGAACACTGTTCCAACAGTGAGAAGTCACACATCAGCCGTGATGGAGTTACGCCAAAAATACTTTTTAGAAAGAAGGCACATTTTTGGAGCTTTAAAACGTAAGAAATGTTCAGGATGTTGGATCTTATTGCATGTGAAAAGTCAACAAAAGTGTAGATTACAAACGTGAATTGCCAAGCTGTGCCAAGTTTATCTACTAAATTGTAAATAAGGGTGAAGGGTGAATTCTTGTTCATTGCAGCTCTAAAGCCTGGAACACACCAAGCTGAAATTGGTCCTCGTCGGCCTTTTTCTGTCGGGCCGTCGGTGAAAGAGGGAACTCTGATTGGCTGTTCAGCTTAGTGAACGAGTCAGTGCACGAGAATAATTGCAAAACAGCGAGCAAAGAAGTCAAAACGGTACAGATAGAAGGCTGTTCTTATGTTACGTCATCTTACCTGAGTTTTCCTTGGTGAATATTTCAATATTAACATGAGCGGAGTGGGATAAAGAAAGTGTTTAGCAGGATTGATATTCAAAACGGTAACTGCTTTGTTTACGGTATGTGTATCTGCAGCCTGCAGCGTCGGTTTCCCTTTTTGAATGACGAATATAGACGAATATTTCTGCAGAAATGGACAGTTGTCTCATTTACACGCAGGCGCAGAACGCGCATTCTAGCTGACAGTCGGCTGTAGTTCTCTCGGTCGGTGTGTTCAAGTGCAGCTTTTTACCCCGACGCTAGGCGGCAACACAGTCGGCTTTCATCAGCGCTAGTTCGTCGGCGTCGGCTTGGTGTGTTCCAGGCTTAAAGGACCATTCAGGTGACCTGGCTTATTTCACAGGCCTGCTACCAGAACAAGAACTTGCCATGATCTTCTCAGTACAGACAGATCCTTTTCTCTAGATCAGTTGATCCAGGTATTAGACAGAAATACCATTAAGAACTTTAACCATTTCGCTGATGTCCACCAGACTTAGCAACAGAAGTAGACTCCCGTCTCATAGACAACACCTTTAACCAGGGGAAAATGGCAATGGCAAATTTGAGCTGTACTGTTCTCCAATCATTTAGTCCTCTTAAACCCCACCCCTTTCTTACAATCGACTGCCAACTTGCATTCAGAGCTGCATCCATCCATTCAACAGCTGATGGATCCCCACCCTACACAACACAGAAGAAAAGCTTTAAGAAAGTTCATCAGCTTTAAGCTGATTATTCCATTAGGAGGTCAGATCAGTGCACTGTAGTCGAGATGGGTGTGTGGTTAAACCCATCAGGCCATATCACGTCTCACACATCATGTTCAATTCCCATGCTTCTGTATTCACACTTGAATACATTTTTTCATTAGATGTTGAATGCATTTGAAGTGTAGGAATTGCTTATTATGACTCGTTAGCAGTCAGGCATCCAATGCACTGGGATTATCACGTTATATAACAACAGGTTTGACAATTGGATTGTGCCAATTGAGTCCTCCAAGTACACAACACAATGGCACACAGCTTGAAGTGAGATTACAAACAGTCATGAGGTGTGAACATAAAAAGCATTATCACATGCTTAAGTTGAGTTTAAAAGCACCACATAAACATGCATCACAATATCATTATTTATTTAAAAGCATGCACTTTGAGAGAATTTAACAGATTATTTAAATTTATTTGAGAAAATTAGTGAACGTATGCATGATACAGCCCTGAGATCATGCAGTCCTGAATAATCTGTCCACATTTGGATTAAAGGATATGTTGGTTTTAGGATTTGGCCGTATTCACAAAACATATTATCTTCCCACTAAGAGTTCTCCTAAATAGCAGGAAAAGTTCTTAGGTAAGAGTTTCTTCCTAATACCTATTCACAAAGCTGCTGAGACTTGTATAAATTGCTTAGGTGCTTTCCATAAACATGTGAAACTTGTGAGGTTTCGCTTTCCCTTGCCTCATACAGCTGGCTGCCATGGCATTTAGTCAAATTTCTCTGTCCTTGCAACAATGAAGCTTGTCAGTATCTGCATGACAATACCTGTAAATGTAATTTTGCTGGCAAGGGATAGTGTACTACAATATTTGTGACCCTGGACCACAAAACCATTCACATGGGTCAATTTTACAATCTGAACGCTGAATAGATAAGCTTTCCATTGATGTTTGTTATGTTATATTTGTTAGGATATGACAATATTTGGCTGAGATACAACAATTTGAAAATCTGAAATCTGAGGGTTAAAAAAAATCGAAACATTGATAAAAATCGCCTGTAAAGTTGTCCATTCATGTTCGCGATTGTGCTGCATTCACTCAGAAAAAGAAATGTTTTATATATTTACGGTAGGAAATTTACAAAATATCTTCATGGAACATGATCTTTACTTAATATCCTAATGATTTTTGGCATAAAAGAAAAATCGATAATTTTGACCCATACATACAACATTTTCATACCCATTACCATGCCAATCACTCCGAGAGTTGTCATGACAGAAATAATGTTAACAAATACAATTTTAATATTTGTATAAGTTTCCTTATAAACTTTTGATTTTAATAATGTATTAGTAAATGTTGAAATTAACATGAACTAAGAATGAACAATACTTCTACAGCATTTATTCATTTTAGTTAATGTTATCTAAAGTAGTTGACTAATGTTAACTAATGAAACCTTATTGTAAAGTGTTCACAATGATCAATAATGCGCACCATTCCTGAGCGCGGCCTAATTGACTTCTCCCATTAAGACTATAGAGCGCAACATTCCCTGCCCCCTTTTTCAGCTGCACTGGTTTCAGAAGTATTTTTTCCATTCATTTTTCCCAAAAGGAGTTATAAGCCATAAACCAAACCAATCAGCTACGAGGTAAATCATAACATTACAAACTTTCATTTGAAGCAAAAGCATTTTTGAAAATCTGACAAAAAGACAAAGGTACAAGACTATGTACTTAACAGTGGGGCTGGGCTTTGCTGTGATATGCAAATTGACGACCTATAACCCCGGCAAGCCCCGCCCTAGTGCCGCCACTGGTCATTGTGCTTTCATGCAAGTCAAAAGTATTCTTGAATATTCAAGACTGATTTTCTCTTGCAGGACTATCTTGCTCACATCATAGACACGGGAGATCTTCCCATCAAGCCAGAACAGGTGTGTGCTCTATTTGGAAACATAGAAGACATCTATGAGTTTAACAGGTAAGAACTCATTCAGTATTTGCTTGTTTTTTGCAACCAAACCAACACCAGTCGTTTATTGAAGCGTGTACAGACATCAGAATGCCACACCTTTGCATAGATTGTGTACAAAGAAAAATCTAAGAATCTAGACTAAAGCCTGTTCACACCAAGAATGATAAAGATACATTTATTAGCGTTTTCACCAACAGAATTTTCATTGTAAGCGGTCACTGCAGTTCTGTCATCTGCCGAGCTGAAGCTCACGCCTTACTCCTAGCCCTGGAAAATGGACAAGAATGATGTTACGACCCCCGAGATAGTCTAGGGGTTCAGGGGTCTAACATTTAAAATTTACATTTACAGCACATAGATTATATATGTTTCTCTTTAAAGAACCACCAATCCAGGTAACTGCAAAAAGCCAATACCTTTATTCAGTACAAAAAGGTTAAAGGCAAGAATTAAGCAAGATAAACATGTAAAGAATATAAAGAATATATACACTGGATACAGTATTTCTGTAAGATAGTCAATACCACAAGGAGGAAGAGGAGACGTGGGCGGCGCCAAAGAAAAGAAAGTAACAAAACCAAAAGAAGTCTTGACTTTTAAATAAATATCCTCTAACCCTAACTAAGAAAATAAAGAACCGAACCGAACCGAACCGCATCAGTGTCCGTGATGCCCTAACTTATCTTCACTACTACTCCCATTTTTTTAATTTCTTAATCTTCACAGACTCAAAATCTGGCGTTCAAACACTGAATCTGTAAAGACTGACCACCACAAAAGTATAGTTTTGGGGGGGGGGGGGGTTGATTAAATATTACGAGGGCACATAACGTTGATTCAACTTTGCATTTGTAGTGGAAACAAACCAACATGCATTTGTAATCGCTTTCGAGTTCATACTCGCTCTGTGCTTTTTAAATTCGCTCGTGTTCAGCAGGGAGGGGAGGGAGGCAGGGGCACAGTAACCCGTTTGGGTGGACAAGGTCCGTAAATGCGCGTAAGCCACATGAATAAGACGCACAAACTTGAATATGACGCTGGTAGCACAATCGGATAGGGAGCGTTTTTCGCTGTCGAATTGTGCTACCTACTGTTTTAATGGGACAACTTCGTCAGTTTTTGTCAGCACAAATCATCAGAAAACCGGCCCTGCTCTGACCGTAGACTAATAATACAATCTTATATTAATAACAAGTGGCAGATGGGGATTTGATTGGATCATTGAATGGTTGTGGTTTGCAATTGCTGTAATCTCATGTGAGTGACAGGTTGCCCCATCATCACAGAAGAGAAGGGAGAGGAAGTTATTTTGATTAAATATTATGAGGGCACGTATTTTAAAAAAATAAAAATTAACGATGTGCTTGGATAAATTATTTAAAATAATTCCATAAAAAACTTTAATTAATTTTGTAGCTATGTTTGTAGCGAATTAAAAAAATGTAATATTGTAATAATATTTTAAGTTTCTGTTTGCTTGGTTGACTGAAATGGTACTGATGTGCAGCGCATGATGTGTGTTTTGGGAGTTTTTATTTTACTGGCCATGAAACTGTATTTGAAAATGTATTTTTAAAACTGCATTTATTTTTTCATGTTGGTTTTTTGTGTTAAAAAAAATTCTCCTCAGTTGTCTCAGGCCATATTTACTCGTTGAATTTAATTAAACCAAGGGTTTTCAAACTGTGGGAAAAGGTGGGTCGCTCAAAGTCTGGCTGCATCTAGATTAAATTAAGTCTGGCAATGGTGCGAGTCATGACATCCAGCAACTCCTCGTATGCGGGTGCCGGGACTCACTGGTCACTTCTGCCTCAACTCCTGTAACATCTAGTTCCTCAGAATTAGAGCGGGCCAATAGCATACCGGAAGAGGCAGACGAGCGCGCTTTCTGATCTGGCCTGAGAGCATCGGAGCTGGCAAACAAGGCCTGAGAAATCGATAAACACGTCTCAAGCTCCTAAGCACACCACCTCAGTGGGACCCGAGCCGTGGGGGAACACACTCTTTGAAACGAGACTCAGGCGGGAGCGGAGCTTCTTCACCGCGGTGAAGCCTCGAGGGGCGGCTGGCTGTGGGATAGATAATCTTAACAACATGTTACCAATTGATAAATTCTCACAAGTAATTTCTCATGACTCCTTTTCATGTTTTAATTTATATCAGGGATAGGCAACTTCGGTCCTGGAGGATCGCATTCCTGCAGAGTTTAGCTCCAACCCTAATTAAACACACCTGAACAAGGCAATCAAGGTTTACAGGATTACTAGATAGATACAGGCAGGGCTGAAGCTAAACTCTGCAGGAGCGAAGTTGCCTATCCCTGATTTATATGCATCTGTTAGATGTTTTGATCCAAAGTGGGTTGAAGTACATTTGACCAGTATATGTGTTCCCTGCAAATCAAAACCCTTGACCTTGCCGTTGATACCGCCTTGCTTTACCTGATATAGGAAGATTGAAACCTTAAAGACCCCAAGAAAGAAAGACACTTTTCTTCTTTCGGTTTACATTTTCTATTGAAACGTGATTTCTGTGGCGTGATTTTTCAAATAGCAAATAGGCTTTAGGTACACCACAGGTACATGAACCATGATTTGCTAGGCAAAGAGACATTCTCATTTTAGAGAACAAGTTTGAAAAAAAAAATCTGTTTAGTGGACGGTAATCAATATGATGTGTGTGTCTGTGACTCGGGGCTTGAGATTTTACTGAGATGTTGTGTATTATTTCTCTCTATCTGTCAGTTAGTAGTGGCATTGTTGCATGCTTTTCAATAAAATCTCTGGATGGAGACTTAAACACACACCTTTCTTCATCTAACCAGTCATCAGTCCATTGTTTTTGAGCGTAATTGTCTCACCTGTTGTCAGGTGTTGGTCTACCCCCGAGTGATACTTTTCTCCTCAATACCACACAGTAAGTGAGTGAATGGTTGGCGTGTTTCTGTTTGTGCTTCATCACAAATGCATGACAGAAAGTGTGGGCATAATTTCCTTTGTTTGCTGTGGTGTTTGTTAGCTAATCCCTGAGTTGTGCTTTCAAATCCATTTTAAACATGGATTGAACCTGGACATGAACAGGAGATTCAGATTTCTTATACCAGTGGCAAAGAAAAAGTGTCTTTTATCATGTTAATTTTTTTAAAGGAATAAGCCTCTTAACACTGTTCATCACAGTGATTTTACTATTAAGGAAATGTAAGGCGCTCCTTACACACACTCATGCAGTAAGAGATGTTCTTTTCTCATTGGCCACGGATAAGAGGATGAGTGACTTGCAAGACCGCATGTGCTGTTGAACAACTTATGACGTGGCTTCTTGTCTTTATCACAAGGCCTTTTGCCAGCTTAATGCTGTAATGGCCTTAGGAGTCTGTTTTGACTTTACAGTGTTCAGAGCATGTGGTGTTTTAATGAACATTATTTTGATGTTTTGGGGTTTGTAAACATGTTTTCTCTTTTTTTAGTGAGCTGCTTCAGTCACTGGACATGTGTGACAATGATCCTGTGGCCATTGCCAGATGCTTTGTGATCAAGGTGATGTTTAAATGGACACAGTTCCTTTAATGGCTTAAGATCTGATCATATTTCAGCTATATGTTTATGTAACTAAACTAAAGTGTTATGGGTATACCATGTAACTTTTTTGTTCAGAATTTACAAAATTGATATAATGAGCGAGTACATCATGAATCCATCTTCCAAACCGTGTTTTTGTCTTATCCTGAATCACTATAATAAGTGTTTATATTCATACTATTTTAAACGGGAGTAGCCCAGTACCTGCATGACTCGTCGTATACATAAACAGAGAGAAGTAGCTCCGGCTACAGTGTTCTTCCGCAAGACGCATGCAGTTACAGAACATCAAAAAGTTACATCGTGTACCTTTAATCATTAAATTCTTTAACATCTTTACATGAAAACAACCTCGTCAAACTCCAGAAGAACAGTGGGCTAATTATTGCATTTGATAACTTCCAAATCAAATGATGTAATTGGGGCTCATTTCTGCTGAATGTTTGCATTGTGTGATGTGGTTTTGTGTTGTTGTGTGCCTTTACTGACTTATCTTTTTCTCCTATATTTAGCGTGAATATTTTGACATCTACACACAATATTGCACCAATTACCCAAAGTAAGTTGCAGTAAATGGCCAAAGTAACGCATATGCATTATGTTGAAGAGCCTTTGGCTAGGTTGTCAGATCTTCTGCATCAAGGAAAAGCACCTTTGGTGTTTTGGTAATATTGTGTACAGTAATATGATACTGGCAGCTAATGTTAAAATTAAGAAAACAAATACAGCTGTGATGTGCATTTATAACTGTTATATAATTTTAATACGCTATAACTTTTTAACATTCCAATATTGAGAATTGTGGTGTGAATTTGCTTCATTTTCATTTAAATAATAACACTGTTTTTTTTAGATCAATAACTTATATTTATATAGTGGTCGGATCAAATTCATGATCAGTAAGGGCTTTAATGCCTGGACAAGCACACAAATCCAGGGCCAATACCAGAAATGGATGAACCCATGTGATGTATTAGATAAAATGTGTCACATAGTGTCTTTGAACCTGTTTACACCTGGTATTAAGATGCGTTTTGGTCGATCAGATCACAAGTAGACGAGGGAGACACATTTCGACCGTGTACACCGGGTGTTTAATCCGTCTCTTTTGTCCATTTTCATGTCCTGACTTCTTCGAGGGGAGGGTCTCGATGTATGGGCTATTACAGATCTTTCGATCTTATAGACGAAATAGGCTTGTGCAATTTACATATGAATGCGTCCGGAGACGACGGAAAAACACACAGAGAGCAGCAGCTTTAGTTTCTGCTCTGACAGACACCGACCAGCCGAACACTGTTAGTGTGTGTTAGAAATCAGCAATGTTGCGAGAACATTGTGCTTGGTACGTTTTTCAGCTTCAAAAACCAAACCAAACTTGGTTCTTCAGCCGACAAAGTTTAAATCCTGTCTGGCTAGCGTGCTTTACGCATTAGTTCAGTAGGCGGAGAGAAGATGGTCTTTTGTGGCTGTTTGAACACATTCGATCACATGAGCGTTTACACTACGAAAGCAATCCGGCCGAATGTGTTTTCGACTACCTCTGGAAGTGGTGGAGAGTGGACAAGCTCAAAACGTTTTAGACCCCGTTTACACCTGTATTTAGCATCGTCCACTTGTGATACGATCGACCAAAATGCATTAATACATGGTGTGAACCGGGCCTGTCATGTTCTAAAGCACATTTGAACTTTGTAACCTGTTGGTTGTCTTTACTGTATGTGCAGCTCAGTCCTGGTGTTTGAAGCATTATTTATTTCCCTTGTCAACGTTGACTCGTTTATGAATTATCAGAGGGTTATTTAATGTTGTATGTATGGGAGTTACTCTTATCAGTTTGTATAGTGACATGTTTGTTAGTGTGTGCTGTGCTGTTTTTTCACTATTCATACTTTCTCCTTAGCTCTGTGGCTGCTCTAACAGAGTGCATGAGAAACAAAACCTTTGCAAAGTTCTTCAGGGAGAGGCAAGCTACTTTAAAGCGATCTCTGCCTCTGGGATCTTATCTTCTCAAGCCGGTCCAGAGGATCCTCAAATATCATCTGTTACTTCAGGTTAACCAACCATTCCCTGAATAATACTGTATAGCAATGCTTCTATTATCATGCATGATCATTTTTGTTGGATTATCATTGTTTTTTGCACTGTATATTGTAACATTGTGTGTTTAAAAGACGGTGATTGAAGAGTTAGATCAGTGGTTCTCAACCAAAATGGATCACAGAATGCACACTGTAAAAGGAGCATTTACAGGGGAGAAAACGCTTGTTGACATCAAAGGCTGTGTGTCCAATCCAAATCTACAGTATTTTAGTGCAAATTCATTGATCACTTTGTACAAAATCACACTTCTGCTGTTGTTTTGTACATTTACATTTTTTTCTATTTAACCTATGTCATGTATAAATGTGCATATTGTTGGGCCTATATAGTTTGATTGGTTTTGAGGACATTTTTATTTTTGTTTGTTTATGCAATAATCAATTTTGGTAATGTTGGGTTGTTTAAAAAATCTGGATTGCATTGTAAATATGCAGTTAGTAGTTATTGTCTTTAATCACAAGTACTTTGAATGTGTCCTTTATGTTGTAGGAGATTGCCAAGCACTTTGATCCAGAGGAGGAGGGTTATGAGGTGGTGGAGGAGGCCATATACACCATGACTGGTGTTGCGTGGTATATAAACGACATGAAGAGAAAACATGAACATGCAGTCCGTATTCAGGTGGGCTCACAAACACACATCAAAGAGTTTGTGTTATGAGCCTGTTTCACAGCTTTCAACTGCTGCTCTCGTGCCGCCCCATTCACACTCACAATCAAACACAATCTTTGAGATGCATGTGAAACACTGGAGATTTTGTTTATTGATAGAATTGCTGTAAAATATGTCCAAATGTCAAAAAAATAAATCTCTCTCTTTCTGCCTAGTTCGCCTATAGGCACATGCCGCCCTGCCGGTCTCGTTTATGTTTTCCGCATATTTAATAAAGATATGAACCAATTTACAATATCTGTACGTCCCTCATCTGCCTCAGGAAGTCCAGTCTCTGCTCATAAACTGGAAGGGATCTGATCTGACTGCATATGGAGAACTGGTTCTTGAGGGCACCTTTCGTGTCCATCGTGCCAAGAACGAGCGCACACTGTTCCTCTTTGACCTCATGCTCCTCATCGCTAAACGAAGAGGAGAACATTATGTCTATAAGGCCCACATCTCGGTATGACAGCACAAGTTTCACAAGAAAATGATACTTCATTTTTCACTCATGTCTAGTCTGAACAGTCAGCACTATTGTAAAGCCCCCATTAAAATGGTTGTTTTCTCTTTCCTCATGCAGTGTTCAGCGCTCATGTTAATTGAGAGTGCCAAGGACTCGCTATGCTTCAGTGTCACTCATTACAAGCATCCCAAACAACCTCACACTGTCCAGGTGTGTCCTTGATGATTTGTGTCTTTACATGAATAAAAATCTTTGGTTACACTTTATTTGGTAACACTTTATTTTACAATGTCCTTGTTACATAATTTACATGTACTTTTACATTTACATGTAACAGTAAATTATGCATAATTACATGCAACTAACCCTCAACCAAATCCTAATCCTACCCTAACCCTATAGTAAGTACATGTAGTTGCTTAATATTACTTAGTACTTAAATACATAATTACACTGTAACAATGACACCTTATAATAAAGTGTAACCCTTTATTTTAAGGTGACGAAGTTACTAAGTTCTGATTAATGTTTATTAACTACATGTGCTTACTATAGAGTTATGGTTTGGTTTAAGGTTAGTTGCTTGTAATTATGCATAATTCACTGTTATTCTGTAGTAAGTACATGTAGTAACGTGTAACTACGTCACCTTAAAATAAAGTGTTACCAAATCTTATATTCATAAAGGGATAGTTCTGCCACTGCCATGTTGATACAAACATGTATTTTGTTTACACAAATGCAGAACTCTTTAAATAAAAAATCTTTACACAGCCCTTGCCATACAACAACAGATTCAGAAAAACACAAAGTCCCATAGAAAGAGTCCATTACTGTGCTTTGGTCATCTGAAGTCATATGATACCTTCACCTGCACTGCACATCTTAAATCAATTATGACACAAGCTTAACATTGTAATGTTTGGTTAAAATACATTTGAATACAATAAAAATAATAAGCTGTTTCTCACCCAAAGTTATCCCAATGACTTCAGAAGACTGTCTATATACAGTACTATGAACTACTTTAATGGTGTTTCAATTCCCCCTTGAGTGTTCCCTCTACACAAAAAATAACATGGAATGGCATGGTGTTGAGTAAATAATGACAGAATATAATTTTTTATTGAACAACTCATTTAATGGTTGATTCTCATTAGGCTAAAACCGTGGAGGAGAAGAAATTATGGGCTCATCATATCAAACGGCTAATTCTAGAGAACCATCAGGCTGTGATACCACAAAAGGTATGTAATGATTATTGGGTTTTGTATTTGAAAACATCTCAAATTCATTTGGACATTTTGGATGGTTCTCTTTTAGGCAAAGGAAGCAATCTTGGAGATGGATTCTATTTGTAAGTATTTAAAACCACTCATGAACAGGTTTCATTTTTCATACCATTAGTTTTTAAACAAGTGTATAAAAAATCATCATGGGCCTGTTTTAACAGAATACTTTTTTTTTCCAAGACAAAAAGTATAAGTACAGCCCTGAGAGACTCAAAAAGTCAGAGGAGTTTTCTAACTCTAGACCAGGCCGGAGGCAGTCAGGTAGGTGCCCGTATATGTCTTGCAATTGTAAAACTTTAAATCTTGAATTTAGTTACTTTTTCCAATGGACTGCTACTTTATCTTCCAACAGAACCGTCTAAAGAGATCTTGAAGAACCCTAAAGGTAAATCACGGCATGCAATAAAGATACAGTGGGAACTGACACCTCTTGCTTCTATTATGCATTTTCTAGCTAGTACAACATTTTTAATTCAGAATTATATTAACTTAAAGGGATACTCCACCCAAAAATGAAAATTCTGTCATCATTTACTCACCCTCAGGTTGTTCGAAACCTGTATGAATTTCTTTCTTCTGATGTACACAAAGGAAGATATTTTGAAGAAGGTTTGTAACCAGGCCGCTTTGGTGCACCATTGACTTTCATAGTAGGAAAAAAAATACTATAGAAGTCAATGATGCCCCAGAACTGTTCAGTTTCCCACATTCTTCAAAATATCTTCCTTTGTGTTCAACAGAAAAAAGAAATTCATACAGGTTTGGAACAACCTAAGGGTGAGTAAATGATGACAGAATTTTCATTTTGGGGTGAACTATCTCTTTAATTTTAATTTCTTAGTATATGAAATATACTATACCCTATAAGGGTATAGTATATTTATACCCTATTTATATTTAACTTAGTAGTTATATATACTTAAATATACCCTTTTGTTTTAATGAACCCCCAAAATGCAAAACCTGAAAATCCATGTAATTTAGCATGATTTGAGAATGTTCACAAAGCATCATGTGGAAGCAAGACATTTTTACAAAGGATGGCTAATGTCACTAATTTGCTTACTTTTTTTTTTCTTTCTTTTTTTTCATCTGGCTGATCTGGTGTCTGGGTAAATTCTTCAGCAATACTGAAGGTAAGAAGCCAATAAATCAACCAAAAATAACCCAAAATGCCTAAAAACACACACATTTGTCAACATCAGATGACAAGAAGTCTACAATTTGTTCCTTTTGATGTGCTTTTTATTTTGTTGTCCACACGCTTGTTGAAGTGTTAAGAGTGGTGGGTAAAAAACAAATACTTACTAGTAATTGAAAGAAAAAAAATCCCATCGTTAAATCTACTTCGAAAAGTAAATGTTCCACGTTACTACCCACTTCTGGTTTTAGAGTGAGCTCAATAATGTAGGGCACCTTCTCTGTTAGTTTGGTTCATGTCCTTGTACCTCATAAGAAGAAATCTTTGTGACTTCATTGTGACCCAGCATTCCGACAGCGTGGGGGCGTTGGCCGCTGACAAGTGGCCTTTACAAGCCACTTCTAGTGTTAGCGCTCATGGCTTGTGCGAGTCTTCAGCTGAGAAGCCTGTCGCACGAGAAGAAAACTCTCTTGAAGGCCTGATTCCCAGTGATAATGAGGAGGCGGTCCGTAGCTCGCTATCTCTGAAGGGCAGATTGATGCAAGACAATGAGGACGAAGCAGAAGGAGAGGAAAGTGACTCTGACGATATTCTAATGGAGGACAACCAGGTAGCTGACTTTGCCAGTTCCATGTTGGCTGCCATTTCCTGCTGGCACTATAGAGCCCGAGCTTTGCTTTCCATGGACTTCACAAGGGTGAGGTTCTCTGCCACCTAGGGGGATTCTGTCATACCCCGACCTGACCTGCAACCTGACCTGCATGTCCGCCAGACCTCCCTGCCATGTTGCATGTGCTCTCACAGAATGCCTTAATCCACTAACAGCGCATACAAGCTGAAGCTAACTCTGTAGATCAACAGCACTGCTAGAGGAACTAAACTAAATTGTAACAACCTTATTGCAATTCATCAAATAATGCATATACTGTACAGTACTTATGATTCATTTTGTTCACTGTATTGCTGCATTTCACTTTGTTGAGAGAAACATCTAGAAACAGTGTTATTATCGTTAATGATAAAAGTTGGATAAACTGTTTTTCAATTTTTTACGTTTTTCTTTGCATTCAAAATGGTAATAATAACCCCTAAAAAATTGGCCCGCCCATCCATTTAGATTTAGCATAGAATAATATTTTCAGGTCTACATATTATCAGACATGGATAAAATATCAAAATTCAACAGCAACAAGCATCTGTGTATTTAGACATTTCTTTTCGTGCTCTGCCCCATTTTACTTGCATATGCGACTTTAATCATACTGCATGTTCATGAGAGGATCGCTTTGAATTTGACAAATCTCACAAGCATGTATACAACATGTTTAACCATGTTTTATTTACCTTGTAAAATCATTAAAGAAACCATAACAGATTTTCGAAATAACAATTTCAGGTTACCCCATTTATTTCAGTGTTCGTTTTAGTGTGCCACCCTACTATGTCCCTCAGGCCACCCCATTAAACATTTCCTGGAGACAGTCAATAAAAAACACCCAGTCAGAACTGCTCTCTCTGATTGCAAGCACTCTCATACTTGCAGAACAACACTGCAACTGAAGAACGTAAAGCTGAGAACCTTACTGTAAATATGTCATGAGTAACGCGATGCTTCACCAGACGACGTCTGAGATTTGAGGGATTTGTCATATAATGATATCCTGTTGTGGTTTTGCATTTTCACAATCAGTCCCTCCACAGCCGTGTTTGATGGCTAATATTCATGAGGAGCGGTACTTCAGGTCCAACGAGATTTCGGAAGCACTTTATTTTACAGTCCTGTTCCACATGTACATTCTATATAATTAATATAGTAATTACAATAACTTGGTACTAACCCTGAAACTTCCCCTAAACCCTAACCTTAACCCATGTAGTTACCCTATATTAGCCAGTACTTTCTTAGAAATTAAATATTATACTTTGCGTACATTGTAAGTACATGTACAGTAAGTGCACATACTGTAAAGTGCAACCAAGATTTCTATGTGTGCGTGGCTCTCTAGTGCAATGTCACAGAAATAGAAAGTAATACTATTTTGCAAAATAATTCTAATTAATGACCATGGACCGTTTGCACCAGCTGTGCTTAGCCTAGTTTGACATAAAGGGGCACTAAGTTACAACTTATGCACTACTAAATATTTTTTGCATCGCACCATTAAACTTAGTTTCTGCGTAACTAAATATTGACGGAAGCCTCCGGCCAGGAGTAATGGATGGAATAAACTAGACTGACTGAATTGCATCAATAAGCTCTTGTTTTAGCTGACAGATTTCAATGATGCTGACATTTACACTCACTTACATTTTAAAAGAGAGAACATTATGTAACAAATTACTTGCTTAGTGGTTCTTCAACAGTATTTATTTATTGATCCTTATTCATTTTTAATACAGTTTCAGACTTTTGTATATACTGTATCTCTTATGTTATTCATGATTAAGTAATATCGTATTTGAATGGAAACATATTTTTACCATTAGTTACTTGAGGCAAAAGAAGTTAGAATGAAGGATAAACTGAAATTGACGGCATTTCAATACAACCTTTTCTCATGTATTTGAAGGCTGCTATTGCATCACTGAGGATAAACGTCATATTATGCGTTAGTTTACGGAGAGCTTACAACCTACTAGCCATGTTCTGCCTTAAGAACAAATGGTGCAACTGAATAGTTACAAACTAGCTAGTAGTTACTAAGTCTCTAGTGTGGAGTTTGTTCCAGTTTAAGAACTGGCGAATGGCTGGTGCGACCCTACCCAGGCCCACAAGGAATCTGCATGCACAGAATTATGCGGGAAAAGTCCACAGAATTGCACAACCCATCATTCACAAAGTTCTACATATCCTCCACCCCTTGTGTGTTCACTTATTAAATAGTGTACTTAATTTGATTTTGCTTTCAGCCATCAATAAAACTGCATTACTGTTTCAGATCCGTTTAACACATTTTTAACAAGATTTTCCTCCCAAAATCAGCACAGAAAAATGTGGGAAAATTCTACTTCATCTGGTTGTGCTAATGAATCTAACTTAAACCGTATTTGGACTGATAATAATCGTCTTACTTAATAATTGTCTTGCTTTATAATTTGTTCCTAATGACATTGCTTATTTAACAGTGTAAATATTCTTATGCATTGTATTTAAAGTTAGTTGTTTTAAAGTGTGAAACACCCATGAATGCTAAAAACATGTTTTTATTTTAGGAGGAAGAGGGATGTGAGGTCACTGAAAATAATTTGAATAGAGAAAATGCCCCATCAGTTGAACAGGTGGAGGCATATCTTACGGATGAAAAATATATCTCAGAACAGGTGAGTTGTTTACTTAACTTATTGATTATATACAGTAATTGTATTAGTTTTAGTACTTGACACCTAGAACTAGAATTGTACTGATTGGTTATGAGTAGGGCTGTCAAACGATTAATCGCATCCAAAATAAAAGTTTGTGTTTACATAATATATGTGTGTGTACTGTGTATAATTATTTTTAAAACATAAATGCCCACACATGCATGTGTATTTAAGAAATATTTGCATGTATATACTGTATACAGACTAAATGTAGCCTATATATAATGTATATTTTATATAAATATAAACATTTTATATATATATAACATATTTTTCTTAAATATATACATGTGTGCATTTATATACAAAATAATTATACACAGTACACACACATATATTATGTAAACACAAACTTTTATTTTGGATGCGATTAATCGTGATTAATCGTTTGAAGTTTGAAGTTAATTTAGTAAGCAACAGGTTACCATAAAGCTTACCAATGTTTTGAACTAAATCGTATCATGAGGTTATTGGTGATACCCAGCCATAGTTTAAACAAACCCAGAAAGCAAGGGATTCAGCTTGTAACTGTAATTTGACATTCTCTTCTTACCCTCTCAAGGACAAATCTCAAAACCTGAAAATAGCCTCTTACTGGGGATCCACTGAGAAATTAAAGCCAGACAACTTTAGTGATCCCGAGTCCATAGAGATGGACCAACAGGTCCCAAATATTCTGGAGTCAGCAAGGGAAAAAGATGATCAGAAAGGTCCCAAAGAAGAGACAGAAGAGGCCTCATCTCTGTCACAGCAAACCGACACCCCTGGTGAATCTTCAGAGGAAGAGGAGAATGCAGAAGAGAAATCAGACTCCACTAGCATTCTACCATCATCTGTGCTTGATAAGGCCAGCGCCATTGCTGAACACTTCGTCTGTGCCACACGTCGTAGTAGCATAAGCACGGATGTTTGCCCATCTCCACGTCTTCCCAGCAGGACTGGAAGCAGTCTAAGTCTGGGAGATTCCCATGATCGTCAACACCGCCTTGCTAGCACCTGCTCACCTGAGTCACATGGCATTCCTTTGACCCAGGAAGCCCTTGCATCAGCAGACTTCATGATCGGGTCATCAGGGGACGACAGACTTTTTGACGCTGATCAAAGCATCGACAGAAGAAGGGATTCAGTGCTATCCCGGCAAGATCAACTACTCATTGACAAGATAAGGAGCTACTATGAGAATGCAGAGCACCAGGATGCTACTTTTAGCCTAAAGCGTAGAGAGAGCCTCACTTACATTCCAAGTGGCCTTGTTAGGAATTCAGTTAGTCGTTTCAACAGCATTCCTAATAATAAAGACCTTGCCCTAGAGAAGACCTCCAGTACATCTGGACCCGATGAAGCTATAGAACCTCTTTTTGTTACCTCGGCTCTATCAGAGACCAATTTATATGCAAATTCAGCCTCTCTGGAACAACCTGTTATCAGTGATCCCACAGATTTCACTAGGCTCGACTCTGATGTAGATGATTTCATGAAACCTCAGTCCGTCTATTACCAAACTGAGAGTAATCCGGAAGAGGTTTTCCGTCCCTCTTCTGAGATGATCAAAGTCTGGCAAGAAATGGAAAGAGAGGTCTCTAGATGTCAAGGGGACCTCAAAGCACTGATGCCCAGAGAAACTCCTTATTATAGAGGAACCAGTCCCAGTCTCCCCAGGAAGAGTCCTAACCTGGGTAAAAAGACACAAGGCAAAAGTTTTGATGGACAGGTTATATCTGAAGATTCAAATCTAAGCACTATCAGAGAGGAGTCCTTCACACCATCACCTTTGAAAGAGAAGGAAAACCGTGCAGCCAGTGAGAATGATGCCATCAGACCCAGACAATGTGAGGATGAATGTAGACCCCTTACATCTCTAGCCCCCAGAGTTATCAGGTTGAGAGGAGAAACTGAAGATGGGGGAGATTCAGGAGCACAGTCAGCAGAAGATCCGGATTCATCCCAAAACAAAGTTTTCAATCTTGCAAGGAAGTACAGTCAACGCATTAAGTGCACACAACCAGGGCTGAGACAGAGGAGTGAGGAGTCTGGAGACACATGGCCGGCCACGAGGAACCTTCTGTCGGTGGTGGAAGAAAAGCCAGAGGAGACCAAAGGCAAGATGGATCTTTTTGACTATAATCAAATCTTTATTTTAAAAAAGTGAACTGCATTTCAACAAATTTTCTTCCATACCACAACATATTACAACAACAGAATCTAACAGCAGAACTGAGACTTTTCACTTTTTGCATTGCTCCTTGTCTGTGTTTGCAGCAATCTTTTTATTAGTCTGTTTGTGTATTATTAATGAGTAATTGAATCATTTAATTTGTTCACTAAATTAATTTTTCCAAAACAAAAATAGACAAAGAAAAGGCACCCTGTGGCTTTGTGCAAACCTTGTCAAAATCTTCAGAATAGATTCACATAGACAGATGTACATGATACATGGTAAATATGGTCTCCATTGACTGTGCATAACATAAAAAATAAAATGAACCTAAGTGCAAAAACAGTATATAATAAACTGACAACAGTAATATTATTCAGCAATATATAAAATGTCCAAAAAAGAGAGAATGTTTCAAACGGATGTTACATTGCAGCAACAATACAAGTGCTAGTATGTGCAACTGACGCTTAATAGACCCGAACTGAGCGAGAGACTTATGAGATGAGTGATACAGGCAAGTCCAAGTTAAGGAGTCTTAACCTGAGGGAAGAAGCTCCTCCTAAGCCTCTCAGTTTTTGTCCTCAGACTACGGAAGCACTTACCAGATGGAAGCATGCTAACAGACCGTTATCAGGGTTAGAGTCCTTGATGATTTAACAGCTCTATTCCTGCATCATCTGAGATGGATGTCATGCAGACCCTGTGATGTCCTCGGCTAAGCGCTCTACTGGCCCTGTCCCAAATGGCGCACTTCATGCGGACTTTCGGTCTCGTGGGCTTAAATTGCGTGTGCTCGCCGAGTCTACGAGTCCGTAGGCCGTCCCATTTAGCATTTTAACGCTCTGAAGTGTGCTCAGCAGCGCCCCCTTTGTACCCTTGAAGCGGTCTTCCGCGAAGCCCGCATATATGCAGGCTCCACGCACTTTAACTACCCAGGAATCCTTGCGAAAGGCCAATCAGACAACGGATGGGAGGAGATTTCGCTCACGGACATTTGTTAACATGGCTGAGAAGAAAATATTTAAGTGTAATTATCATTACGGTTTTTATGACAAGTTTATACAAACATTATGATCATCGACCAGTGGTTGATGTCTCAAACATAGGCTAATAATAGCGAGCTGAATAATACGATCGCATTATGATTCATTAAATAAATAGAACAGAATGTCAGGGCTTTACTGAGTCATATGTAAACACAACAACAATAGGCAGCATATTTCCCCGAACCTGTAGCTCCTGCCCATAACAACAATCAGACCGTCTCCCTGTTTCCGGCGTGATGATCGAGTCTGTCCCAAAAATACCTCTCAATGCGCCCTCGCGGACTCGCGATAAGGGCCCTATAGGTCTGCACTACATGACGTCACCGAAGTGTGGACTCTGAGGAAGTCCACAAGTCCGGACTGTGCCATTTGGGACAGGGCCACTCTCTGCAGAGCTTTACAGGCCTGATTAGTGCAGCTCCCATACCACACTGAAATACATTGAGTTAGTACACTTTCAATTGTTGGCGAATAGAACGTTTTCAGGATTACTGGTGAGACCCTGAATTTCCTCAGCTGTCGTAGATGGTACATTCGTAATACTATCAGGGCCGGCTGCTTTTTCGACATTCACTCTCTTTAGAGCTCTCCAAACCTCGTCCTCAGTGACGGTGATTACATGGTCATCGCTAACATGCCTGCTTCGTTCTGACACGCTGATCGGCAGAATAGCGCTAACACTGTTAGTTTCAAAACGTGCATAGAAAATATTCAGCTCGTCAGCAAGCCAAGGCACTTATGGTCCTCATTTTCAGCTAATAGACTCTCGTCGTACGTGGCAGGGACTGAGACTCCACTCGTTCTCTGTATCTAATTTTAGCGGCTTTTACTGTGTCCGGCACCAAAGGCATCAGCCAAGTTTCAGACAGGCAGAGTATGTTGCAGTCTCTATGCCACGTTGAAATCTTATCCTGGCTCTAAGATCATCCAATTTATTCTCAAGAGATTGGACATTTGCGAGCAGAATGCTTGGCAAAGGGGGACAGTGTGCTCTTTTCCTCTTTTTTGCGTGGCCATGGATCCCCTCCATGTCTCAGAGTAACTCCGATGACCATGATGGGTTACAGGATAAAATGTCTCGAAATAGATGGCTATAGTGGTATCCAATCTACTTAGTCATAAGTAATCAGTGCAGATGTTGTACGTGTAAAAAATAACTTTGAGTTCTGCTCGTGTTGGTTTCCAGTTTAAAGTGGTTGACTTCAATAAATATAAATTGGTTGCTGAAATATATATTGGTTGCAGTGATTCTACTTAATGTTGTTCAGTCTTTAATGTACTGTAAAATGAACATAAAATGATCTTATATTTTGCTGCTCCACAGGTAAACCAGACTTGATGCTGTCCCTGACTGCAAATGATCAGGCTGATTATGAAAGAGACCAGAAGTCCCAGCTTGTGACTCCCAGCCCAGACCACACTCCTAATTCTGTCAGTAGCCCAAAGTTCATGTCCCCACATCTGTCCCATTCCAGGAGTCCTCTTAGTCCTCCACCTGAGAACTTCAACTGGCCAGACGTCCGTGAGCTTCGCTCGAAATATGCACACTTCGACAGCTCATCTTCTCAGTTACCAGCAGGCCAAAGTCGTTCTGTGGCAGAGAGGACGTTCGACGGCACTTCTAGAAGACGTTCTAGCTGCTCTTCTAGCCGCATGCTCACCTCTAATGGCTCCACAGACTCTTCAATTCACACACTTTATCCGGGAAGGGATACGGGAGAATTGCTAACTCGGAAGAATCGTACTGGCTCTCTGGACCAAAAATTGGGTAGTTTGTACTTGAGTGATCTGCATAGTCTTCGGAGTAAAAATGCCAGCAGTGGCTACTATGTCTCCGCTCAAGCTACCCTTCCAAATGAGAAGAATATAATAGTGGTTGAGAAAGTACCTGAGGATACACCACCAGTAGAGATGGACCTGCCTACCAAAGAGTGCATGAAACAGGAAATAACAACAGATGACGGCTACGTCCAAATTCGTTCTCCAACTTCTCGTGAGAAGATCTCAATCATGGCTGTCATCGACCGCTGTCGGGCGTATCAGGAGTCAGAGGAATACCGTCTGAGGGAAGAGGGAGGATCGAAGACAGAGAGGAGCAAAAAACTGGAGAAAGCTCCATCCCCTAGTGATTACTTAGATGATGTTGTTAAAAATGCATTGGATTCTGGGAAAAAGGCGGACGCTAGTCAACAAAGCGTTGTCAAGAACCTCAGAGAAAAATTCCAAAGCATAAGATAAAATCACTTGTTTTATCGTTCAGAAAGTTTGTTGGCTGTGAAATACTTTGCTTCATTAATTTCTCTCTTTTTTAATGTCTTGACCACTGAAGGTATGGTCAGTATATATTATGCTGTAGCCAAATAAATCATTTGGCGAATTTAAACCTCAAACCTAATATTCTTTACGTTTTGGACACTGTTTGATTTATGTTGCCTACTGTTAAACCTATGAGAAACCTATGTTTTTTTTTATGGTCTGGATGCTAGGCAGCAAGTGTAAATATTGTACATTCTTGTACATGCATTCATTCTGATGTACCATTCGCATATTTGATTGTAGATATTACATGTATGTGTTTGGTAGTCATTTTACATAAATGTAAAGGTCTTCTTCATGATTGTTAAAATTTTGGCAAAAGTATTTCAATTCATGTAATACTGTATACTCTGCCAGTATAGACTAGACTTTAGTGTAATTCCAGACTCTAAATGGAACAGACCACTTGAAAACTGGGTTTTATTTAACTTTTAACTAAAAGACATGTTAAAGCTTGTTCGTAGATGGCATGCATGGGCCAAGTGTATATATGTACCTTTGTAGCAAAGTGGATTTAGTCCCTTTTTTCTAGGAAACTAGATCCTAATGTTTAAAGGCATACTGTAAGAACAAGTAGTACAGTATGACAATTTTGTCTGAAATGTTAAGCTTACCATGTGTCATTGTGGTGCATGATAAATCTGCCACTAACATCAGACTTTGGGGGATGCCACAATTAGGTAAACACTGTTGGTCAAGCAGACCATTCTGATGTGAAATCTGTCATTTTCTTCATAACTGCTCTCTTATTGATCATTGTCTGTGTCTATCTCTCTCTCTCTGTTATTTATTAAGATTCTATTGATTCCTCCTATCTGTCTGACTTAATACAAATGCACCAAAAAAATACAGTGCATAAAGTGGAAAGTCTGGAAAATTCACTCCATAATAAAACCCAGGAAATTCAACTTAGCAAAGACTTGGACAGATTTTGTTTATGTCCCATTTTAATGACTCTGATCTGTAGGCCTCAAATGCTAATCTTAGATAGTCAAACCAAGAGCATTTATGACTCCTTTCAACACCGTTTCCGAGGTTTAATCAAATCAGAACCTGATAAAGCCTCCATGTCAGTTTATGGTTTGATATTAATACGATATTCATGCAAATGTATTTTCAGATATGAAACTCAAATATTTTTCGGAGTTTTTCTAAGTTCTACGTGCAGCACTTGAATGACTTTAGCCATTCAGCATTAGCCATCACTGAGCCACTGTAGCAGAATTTCAGCATTTAAATTTGTCAAAACATCATATGAGCACCTCATACCTCGTACAATATTTACAATTTGAATCCCTCACCTAGCCAAAGTCTTACAACATGCTTTGGATTTATAAATTTAGCAAAATTAAAAGAGATTAGTAAATACTGAATAAGTATTGTTCATTCTTAGTTCATGTTAACTAAGGTAGTTAACTAATGTTGACTAATGAACCTTATTGTAAAGTGTAAATACAGGTTTGTTAACATTAGTTAATGCACTGAACTAATACAACCTTTGATTTTAATAATGTAATTAGTAAATGTTGAAATTAATATTAACTAAGATTTAATAAATGCTGTAGAAGTATTGTTCATTCTTAGCTCATGATAACTAAGATAGTTAACATAATGGTAACACTGTACAATAAGGTTCAATAAAGAAAGTGTTTTCCTTTTTTTTTTGGAAATGTTTAATTTTTCCTTATGTTTAATTATAGAACAATTCCAAAACTTCAGTAATATATAAATATTTTTCTTAATAATAGTTCTGAATGTCCTGTTTTATGTTGCACCCTTTCAGAAAATCATTGATGAATGAAATGACTGGGCCTCTAAATATGCACACGGAGGCATTTACAGTGATGTGATATTCCTGAATCATGAAGGGCAAAGGAATAGTCTTAGATGATCTCAATTTCTCAATCAAGTCCGTGTACTTGAACTGTAAGTGAACTCTTACTAAATAACCTGACAAGAAACAATGAGGATGTTTTCATTTTAAAAGGCGATGAAAGTACGCCACACGATGGCCGCACCTGGTAAATGCACTGTTAACAAAAATTAAATCAAAAAAGACCGGTTTTATTAATATGAACGTTGCCGTGGGTTTTAGCATACGCACACTCTAGTTGAAATCGTTTTATTAATGTGGCCTCTCATTAGCACACGTACATCACGGAGACGTCTATTTTATGTGCGTGTTTACATCTGGAAGACGTATTTTTTTTAGTGTTTGCTCATCTGCAATACGTCTATAGGACATTTCCTGTCAATCTTAAAGACATTCGAAAATGTCTTTAAGATTTTTTTTTTTAATCCTACAAAAATCCTCCAAATTACAAAAAGGTGTCATGAACATGTTTTCACCTCAAATATATTCTCTGCTCTAAAGTTGTTTAAAGTGTATTTTTAAAATGTATGTAAAACTGATATCTTAGCAAACAATCAGATGTTAGCAAACAACAGATGCTGTCCAGATGAAGTGATCTTTAACAGACATCTGCAGACGTACGTGTGCTATCTAGTCTTCATTTAATTTTATTTTGCTTTACAACTTTAAAAAAAAAATGTATAACTGTCTACAATAGACTTAAAAAAGAAGGTGGTGACTCACACGTCCAACAGTATATTATTTTCCTGGATCTGTTGGCTATGTTTATGGAAGCCTCTCAAAATACACACTACTGTTATAACTTTTTGACTATTTTTCAAATTAAAGATTTTCTGTATAATAAATTGATGAACTTTTGCTTAAAAACAATGAAAAATGCCCTAATTGCTCTGTTTAAAAAAAGGTTACCCCAGATGAATAATTGGAACAAACATATAACAAACGTTACAGCTTATAAGAAGCACTTCCTAAAACTTTCTAGAAATGTTTAGAACATTCCAGGAATGTTGAGAACTCTCTGGAATTTTCTAGAACTGTTTTTATTTTTAACTGTTTTAACAATCCAAATCTGGGTACACATATACAGGAGAGATATATAGGAGAGAGGGAACTTTATGAGCAAACAAAAGTTGCAAAAAAACCCTAATTTTTTTTAAGCAAAAGTTAATCGATTTATGAAACAGGAAATGTTTTATTTGAAAAATAGTCATACATTTATAACCCTAATACACACTGCTGTAGTTCACTTTAAATCCTCCAAATTACAAAAAGGTGTCATGAACATGTTTTCACCTCAAATATATTCTCTGCTCTAAAGTTGTTTGTTCTACTTATTTTAGTTGTGTAGATATAAAGTATTTTGTTTCCAAAATGGGTGTTAATGGCTTAAATAAATGTATTACAAATTAGATGAAAATTGTAATACACTTTGGATGGTTCATAAAATGATATCAGTGACATCTGTTAAAACTTAGAATGAATTTACATTACTCAGTTTATAATAAAAGAAAAGGTAGATAACATCAAATAAAAAGTGTTAACAAAAGCTGGATAGTGACTTGAACTATAGTCTATGACTATGAAATAACCCTAACCCATCACAAGATAATTGCGGCTGCTGTTAGTTACGAGTCTGGAAGTTCTACTAGATTACATATGGCGCACATGCAATAATTCCAAAATAATTATTTTTTTTGCATTTGATACAACAAACCATTCATAACACCCAGGTAAAAAAAAAAAGCAAACTGTTTAATGGTGAGCTGATAAACCACTAAACAAATCTACTGTATACAATCATTTCTTAGTGCAGATATTTAGAAACATTTTTCCAAGATTGACACCAGGATTGTAGAGCCTTTTTAACGTTAAATGGTACGTAAATAAATAAATAGAAAAAAATGCTGTAATGGAAGATCACAATTACAGACACAAAGCAAATACAATTCAATACTAACATGGTGTCGTTATAATGCAACGTGTTGATGGGACGCTGGTAGACACAAAGATGTGTTGTACTGTATGTACAGTTGTGCTGTTCACTGCACATTCACACTGTTGTCATCAGAAGATACTGGTTGTCGCAATATTTCTATACCGGCCAGTTGCAAACTAAAATGGGGGAAGATGCCCCCCCTTAAAAACAATGTGCATCAACTTTGAAACTGTAAAATGTTTAACGTGCAGGATTATAATGCATCAGTCTTATTAAGTGAAATAAATAGAAACGTTGTAAAATTAGAGAGTTCTTATAACGTAAGATGGCCCCTTCCTGGGGGAAACTATGAATGTATAAATGATATCATTATGATATTTTTCAAAGTCATAATTATAAAATTCAAAATCAACCGTTCTATTTCAAATTGAGCATTATTTTTTAATTGAATAACTTATGACAGACAATTTATGGCAGAATCCCAGTTAAAAGAGATTCATCTGAAAGGTAAATTTATTCCATGATTTATATACAGGCTTATGAATATTTACATATTTAATTGACCGTATTTTAATTGAAGATATGTCATAATAGCAACACTGAATTCAAATGTAATAATTTCACTCATTTAGGCTATGGGTTTTATTGAAAAGGTTCTGACATGTACAAAGTAATTCATGGAATTATTAAATAAAAACCCCATGAATTACAATAAGTATAAATAAATAAAATAACGATATAGTGACAACTTTCCACTCTGGGTTAATTCAGGGGGGCATCTTACCCCAAAGGTCTAATTTGAACTCTAACCCAATGGTTTTCAACACTGTCCCTTACCTTACTAATATGTACAATTTCCTAAATTGAATATTAGTGTGACATTATTGTTGTGGATCTCATTCAGGATATTTAAACATCATTTTGATGCTTTTAAAACATTCAAAATCACAAATACATAGAATATATGACACTTAAAGAATACACGGCTAATGTAAACGTAGGGGCGATAGCCTGTTACATCCAGCTGTTTTCTGTTCTCACCAATAATAGCTCTTTGTCATCCCAAATTAAAAACAATCACTTTGTTGCATACAATCATAAAAGCATATAATATAGTGGGGCAGGGTGAAGGTAACCCGTTTTTCAAGTTTTAACCTGTAACACACAGCAACAACACTTCACAGCATCACACATGATTCTATTATAACCTAGCAGTCGCTTACACACGTAAACTTAAACACCCTTAACACTCCAGACATACAGTATGTGGTGTAGTCGCAAAACTACGGTGACCAGGAGGGGACAAGTCTGGTTCACTTAGGTTTGTCCTGGCCATGAGATATTGATTTGTGGGAACCCTTATGTTGATCCACAACATCTTAACATGAGTTGATTCAGTGAATGTGACATACATATTCATTTTATTTGTACTCTTATATCATCCAAAAGCGTCATTGTTATAAAAACGCCCTTGTATGCAATTGTATTGAAATCAGTTGTTAATTTAAACCTTTAACAATAAAGTACCAGCTGACAGGGTTCCCTGTATAGTTTACAACATTAGCTGAGAAAGGTTTTTTTTCTTTATATATATAACCAAATGAATCGATGTTGAAATTTGTGTCAATACCACAGTTTTACAAAGTCTGTGGTTTTCCTATGGAATTGGGTTACTTTAAAAATGTTGCCACGGGTTTATTTTTTTATTTTTTTATTAGATTTTCAAAAAATGATCTCAACATAGGAACTCGTGGCTACTACAAAAGTGAACCAAACATATCCCCTTCCAGTCACCGTATAAACATTTATGCCAAAGGTTGATTACTTTTAACAATATTTTTGATACTATTAACAATATTTTAACTTGCTATATCTGGGAATTCAACAGTAGCCATATTCTCAGAAGTAGCAATATTCCATTAATAGCATTATAGCACGATAGCATTATATCTAAAACAACTGGTAAATCTTTTTTTTTCTTTTCTGGCAAAGCAAGCTAATGTCTATGCCCGTGTTGAAGGCAAGCACTAAGTATTGTGTATTCACCCTTTTTGTCATGCTGTAGATTTGTAGCAGCCAAGTGCATTTCATGATTGACAGTGAATTGGGTTGGAAAGTGGATTGAATGCTACAATGGTTTTCAAAACAGACGGCAACACAACACTCACGCATTCACTCAATCATGAATGACAACATGGCATATGGACAATCGCTCAAGCAAGCCACGGATTACAATTGTTGAAAAGAACAATGTTTACAACCTACTTTAGCTTGTGAAGTGTGTCCGCAGTCTTAGAGAAAGCATATGACGCATATTTGCACCACAGGTAGTCTTACAATACTTTTACAGATGCGCCACAAATATTGCAGTCTCCAAAGAAATGTGCAGTTGTTTACTATGCTTATACTACATATCGCCCTCCCTCGGGCCCTTTGGGACCTCGCTTTGCACTTGCATTGGCATTACTAGACGTGGGGCTGGTAAACTCCTTGGAAGCAGATTTGGTTTTTCCCCTGGGAGAAGGTGCCATAGGGGGCATCTTTAGGATTCCTCCAGGCTCAACGATAGTGTTGATCACTAAGGTAAGACAAAACACAAATGGATATAGGGAAAGCCCCAGAATGTGTAGCATACAAGGTCAAAGTTAAAGATCTAATGCTAATAAACTCACCCTCAAGTTGTCTCTGGACTCGTCGCAGTTCTTGGAGAATAGATGAGATTTCCTGCTTGCAAAGCAAGGAAAATAGATTACAAAATCTCTGAAATTAAAGTCTGGTCTTAGAAATTGCCTTTAATCAGGACAGAATTTACCTTATTAGATGTCTTCAGGATAGGAACCTCATTTTCAGCATTGATTTTTGCCTCTATTTCCTCCCAGACTTCAGTCTTGTTATGAAACAGAACTCTAAAAGAAACACAATATTTGTGGGACTATACAGACAAAGCACTTTGTTTTAAAGAACATCAAAATGCATTTTGTGATTTTCAAGTCTATTAGCTTTAAAGCTATCTACTGTACTGTATATACTAGTGACCTCCTAAAGTTGACAAAGTCAATCTTTAGCAGATACACAAAGTCTAAATATTGAGGACTACACATATTTTCACATATTCTCTAGGATGAGAATCTAGATTCCCTTAATCTCCAATTCCTCTGCTTAACAGCTAGCAAGTGGTTTATGGTTATGATGTACCTACAGCCTATTTGACCTTTAAATAGGAATCATACTTCATTTTCTCTGCTAGTTGCTCTGTGTTCTCTCTGATAGCCTGGGAGAGCTGGGAGACTGGGTTCAGCATTAGATTGTCCAGAATTACCTGTGATTAAATTAAGAGTCAAAGGTTAAAATGAAAAAGGATGTAATTGTAGTTTATCTATACCGTATCTGAGAGACACTGCCATTGGCTATGAAGGTTGTAACACCCTAAGCAAATGACTAATGGATCAGTTTATTAGTGTAATGAGCAAAGGATTTGACCAAATTTGACCTCTTCACGGTTCCAGGGACGCCGTCTGGAACTGTCATGGTCGTTCATATTTGAGTCCTGGTCTATTGGACTAGTTGAGCCTGGAGGAACCTTTTGATAGTTCAGACTTGCCTCGGGTATATGCTGTACCAGCTGTAGATTAATCAGGGATGGGAAAGCACTAGTAAGAACACGTGGACATGACAATGGCAGGTAAAATTTGATGTTAACAGACATTAGGGGTGTAACGGTACATGTATTCGTATTGAACCGTTTCGGTTCGAGGCTTCCGGTTCGGTACGCATACAAACCAAACAATTCCTTGGACCATTTTTCCTGCCGACAAAATCCGTGCTGGCGCGACCACCACAACGTTGCGCAACATCAAATGGCAAGCGTAATGAAAGCGGAACGAAACTGCGCTACTCATTATGTGCTTCACGGATCGTTTATCAGTTCGGACCAGCAACATCTGTGCAGCGCGAGTCGATCTCGATCAAGCGACACTGTTACAACACAGCGCTAAGAGATCCAGTAAAGAAAACATTTGAATTCGCCACTGAAGCAATAACATCGCTGCGAGATCTACTGAGAAGCATTCACATTTCTCCGTTATTAACCGTAGATCTCTATTAGATCAAACAGCGCTGACGTGGAAACCAGGAGAAACATTGTGCCGTGAATGAACTAGTAATACTTTACGTCCACAGACCAGCAACATTCACCATGGATTTAATATAGTAACACTAACTGTAACCAGTTTGGCTGGAATAGTGAAATGCTTTCAAGTACCTCACACATCTTTTTCCAGCACTTTAAAACTCAAATAATATATAAATAAATATATATTTAAATTTTATTTTTAATGTGATGACCAAAACATTATTTGTTCATCCTTCAAAGATTACCCCCATTTATAAACCTGTAAGTTTCAAGATGTAGGAAAACTCAGTTATTTAAAAATATTTTTTCTTTTAACAAATAGGAAATTTCTCTGGCATTTCTTTCTTTTTGCTGTATCGAAAACGTACCGAACCGTGACTTTAAAACCGAGGTACGTACCGAACCGTGATTTTTGTGTACCGTTACACCCCTAACAGACATACATCTCTGAGCTCAGATTACAATGGAGGCTTCAGAGATACAATTCTGGGAAGATATCTGTATGATCATGCTAATTCAATTGTGAATAGCAAAGGGTTCTATGTTCACAGTCAACATAGCTGGACAATCTCCTTAAAGTGAACATAACCTGTTTTGTGAACATACAGCCTTAAGAGTGAGTTTGGAAGTGAAGTTCCATGCATTAGGGATGCATTAGGGAATAAATCAATTAGAGCAGCAGTTTCAACAACAGGTTCCAAAGGTGGACATCAGACAGCTGTTAGTACATTAATTTTGGTGATAATGAGTGATGAACTCAGCACCTGAGGTAACAGGAACCTCTGTAATGATGCATATGGTCTCTGCACAAAAGAGAAAATATACAACAAAACGTATGCAAGATTACAAAAGAAACCTTGTACTTAATCCTCTTTGGGGACACAATATAATTATCAGGAGGTGTACCATGCTACTTCACCATGACTTCTTGGTTACCGAACATGCTTGGTTACCTTTGACTTTAGCATTTTATCTACTATGTTTTCTCCTCATTGTGCTAATGAGGAGATTGCAAACATTTGCAGCATGTTCTGCTTCATACTGAAAAGGTAGTGGAATGGGCCAGTGTATATGATTGGATGCCATTTAACCAAGCAAACAAACTTTAGGCCTACCTCCTCTCTGGTCGAGATAGTGGATGCAGGGGTATTTGGCATGGAGCCAGGGGAAGTGGTAGCTCCTAAGCCTGAGGATGTCTGGGAGTCACCATCCCCTGCTACATCATGGATTTCACGTGCAAGAATGGCAAGATCTTTGGCCAGGTCTTGACTCAGCCTAAAGGATACAAGTATTATATAGTATATCATCAATCATAAATATGCATGCATGCACACACTACCCAATGCATTACCATATTACACCACAACAACAACAAAAACCAAATAACCTGGCAATCTCTGCACTATGAGTAGACCAATTCTGGAAGTGTTCATTCTGAGTTTCGTCCTCTTCCGTTTCCAAAGAGACACATTTCAGCCTCATTTGAACAGTCTTCTGTGGTGTCTGTGTCTGAGTTGAAGCTGAGGCATGGGAACGCTTTTGCTTAGAGTTGGATTTGGTCTCAAACTCCTCCTCTGAGGTAGAGGAATAGTCTGAATCCTTTTGTCTACGGTGGGAACCTAAAGTTTTAAAGAAATAAAAAATAGGGAAGTGAACATTTCTAATCAAAGTATCATGTTTGTAATTTAAAACATCAAAGTCACAATATTGTCAGTAATAATGAAAAAATATTGAAAATTGTTATCGCACTCCAGTGGTCTTGTCTAGACGAACTGTATTTATAGATCTAAGAGTATTAAACTGACAGATACTCACCAGCTGTGCTACTGTGTTTAACTTGGTTAGAGCGGGTACGCGTGGAGGAGTGTTTCCCTACTGAAGCAGTCCCTTTGCCGGGAGCCTGCCTCACCTCATTTGAAGCCCCTTTCCTAGCACTGCTACTCGCCTCTGTAGGATGGTTAGAAATGCCATGCTTGCTTGAGGTGGATTCATTGTCACTTGGAACAGTGAAGGATCTAGTTCGTTTCCGAGGCATAGCAAGAATGTCCAGCCTTGAGAGTTTCTTGCCTTCAGCAGGAGTCTTACTGTGGTCGGAGCTCTGAGATGCACGGTCCGTCTCTGCACCCTCATTGTCTGAGGTCTCACCTAGTCGAGCTCGGCGGAGCATCGAGGCACGGGTTGGTCTTGGGGCTGAAAGGCTATTGGATCGGGTCAGCACCTGAGGGCTTCCTTTGGTCACCTTACTGGGGTCCTCCTTCTGCAGGGGTGCAGTGAGTTTTTTGCGGCTGTTGGGCCGTGAACTTGACTCATGGTCAGAAGCAGCAGCTTCATGCCACAGCGGTTGACCATGCTGATTATCAGAAAGGTCTAAAGAACCACGGTTACCAGCACTGCGACGAAGCTGGAGACGGCGACTCATTTCAGCCTTACTAGTATTATCTGCAGAGGCATGATTTCTGCGTTTTTCTGATAACCGTTCACGTGCTGTAGGTTGCCGTGCTTTGTCTTTTGCAGTTAAACCGGAAGATGATTTCTCCTTACGCTGGTCACTTGCAGATGTACGCTTCTTAGGTGCAATGACATGAGCATTTTTACTGCTGACCATGCTTACAGTACTGGCAGTATCAACATCTGAATCACCAGACAGGGAATCCTCTTGTGCAGGAGAGCTTCCTGTTTTTGAGCGTTGACTTGATCCAGGAAACTTCTCTTCTGGTGATGCCAATGATTTCTCTGCTTCCTTAGGAAAGGGAAATGTATCTTGGACAGTTTCCTCTGTATCCAAGCTTCTCAAAGCAGGATGACTAGAGATATGTGGTAGTTTCTTGACTTGAATGTTGTCACTTGGCCTATCTTTGGTAAAACTCTCCTGTCGAACAAATGAGGTTGAGGTCTCTTTGGTGGGCACCACATCCCTGTTATGTGCCTGAAGGTTCGGGGCTGACGAGTTGGGCTTCACTGGACGCCTAGACTCATGGCCACTCAAATGTCGTATCAAGACAGTGGTTGGAGGTATCTTGGGAGAGAAGTCTCTCTCTGGCTGTGAAAGAATTGGACTTTTGGATGCATCTGACTTGGATGAACCATCTCCAGAACCAATATAAAATGAGGTGGGTTTGGGAGTGGGTGGTGGCATCTCTCTTAACCCTCTAGAATGGTTTACATTTTCAGAAGGTGAGGGTATTGAAGTTCCTCTCTTTTCTTGGCTCCTTCCACTCCTATCAAGGATGGAGCTGTCATCTGAACGGCTGGTGTCACTCAGACTGTCTGGGTCCACATCGTCTTGGACACGTAGCCTCTGATTGCAGTCCTGCTGCTGTGGTGCTCTAGAACCTTTCTCTGGTGGTTCATGGTCCACGTTAGTTTCATGCCGGATCAAGATGCTAGGGGTTGTGTTCTCCAGTTTTTCTCCTGGTGGAACCTGAGGAAGTTGTCGTCTGGTCCTGAAACCTTGACTGCCGTCTGATTCCGAGATATCCAAGCTTGGACTAATCATTAATGTCACTCTATCATCTTCAAAATCAAAAGAGTGAAAATAGTTATTATTTTGTTGGCTATTCATAATGAAATCAAAAATTGTATTGCCAACTTGCTCAAACACCACTTGTGACTTTCAATGAAAATACCTCTGTCCGCAGGCCCATTTTTGGATGGAATTCCCATAGATCCTTGTGTAGCCCCAGGATCACTATAAGCGTTTGCTAGGCTGGCCCAGCGTGAGCGTGACACCCATTTAGGCTCTCCTACACCAGAATGTGCCTAAATCACGAAGGGCAACAACTATCAATCATAATTGCATTAATTGTTCACTATTCACTGACACCGTTAGGGTGACATTTAGTAATGAAGGAGAGCACTGTTGTCAGAGCAGAACATAATTGCAATACCTGCAGTGATTTGACTTGGTCCCCACCATGGCCCTGTGATGATGTCGACATTATATCAGCTGCCATACCGTGGCTATGATTAAAGAATAGTTGGTCATCTTTACCATCATCAATCACAGGCCTATAAACTCCAAGAGTCTGACCACTGTATTCTGGTGCATCTAAAACACCAAACACCTGTGAAATGAGAACAAATATGATTTACTATGTTTCTCAAACACTACTCAAACATTTTCAGACCACATTGGTCAAACAGGTGGTGCACCCCAAATTCACACCAGAAGTTGAAACAGATATTTATATTTCGGACAACTCAAACATTTCACTCAATACAATGCTTTGAAAGTGCCAAAGAGCCACAATTTTCCAATCCATTCAACCAATCACTTACTTATAGTATCTGTACAGCACACTGGGATAGGAGAATTTTACACCAATTGTAATCTACTGTACATATCTCTTTTTTCAAGAAAAAGAAAAAAGGCTTTGTCACCTGGTCAATCATACTTCTAGCTTCCTCCACTTCCTTATCTTGTGACTCTGTCTCAATTGTGTAGGTACCAGCATCACTCAGACTGTCCTCCTCCTCAGTTCGTGTCACCCTTGAGCCCTTAGTTTCAACATCACTAGCTAATAGTGGTGAAAACGGGGGCACAGATGTCCCAGCTGAGCAGACTGGGGAGGCACTAGAAACTGGACCCCTTCCAGGGGCTTGCGAAGGGACGGAGGCAGTGGAGGATATTGGGAGAAGAGACTGGGATAATGCAGGAAGTTGAGAAGGAGAAGATGGGTACGACAGAGATGAGGGTCCAGAGGGCTCTGCTGGGGAGGGTAAAAGAGTGTGTGAGGGGGATACCATCACAGGTGGGGCAGACAAGGGAGGTGGGGAAGTTTTTCCTGTATCCTTCAAGAACTCTGCAGTAAATTCCTGAGCAAGATTGGACTTCTTGCCCACACTCCCAAAAGGCTTAATGGTTATAGCTGGTGAAGAGCGAGAAGAGGTCCCTAATAAAGATGTGCTGGTCCCATTGTCTTCTGTCTTCTCTCTCTTCAGTGAGCTTGATCGCTGTGAACCTCCATGGCTTGAACCTTTCAGTGGAACAGTGATTTGCTGTGTTGGAGGAAGATGCCCATGCACTGAGGCTGGCCTTTCCCCATGACCCAGACCTTTGCGTCTCTCTAGTTTGGCCTTCAATGCAGAGTAGGAGTCAGCATGCGCAGAGTTGTGGGTAAAGGACTGTGACCGCTTCTTTCTGGGATTATCATCAAAGAACTCAATGATGAAGGCCTGCTGGGTGTGAGGCTCAGGGGGAATGGGCTTAACCTCTGTCTGGAGAGGGGAGGAGGCTTCTTGTACAGGATGAGCCTCACTTTCATCAAGATCGCCTTGATGGGGTTTGTGTGGTGAGACTGACTGAGGATGATGAGTTTTTTGCATTGAGACAGATGGCTGGGACAGAACTGATTCTGATGGTTCAGATGTCTTTGATTGAGCTGACTGCTGTGACTGTACTGATGATTGTGATTGCATGGAATGATGTGACTTGCTGCGTTTTCCATTCAGTACAGGGTCTTCTGAATCACTCTGGGTTCCATCATCATGATGGTGTCCTATTAGGATTACAAATATAGTGTATATTATGGCTGTCAATCTAATTCTAAAAAAAATAATGTAATAAAAATTCATGCAGTTAATCATTCCTCGTAGCCTGTATGTCAATTCTATAATCTTTTTTTTTTTTTTTACAAAAACCATGACAATCAAAGCTTGAAGTTTGTTTTCACGAAGACTACAGCCAGCTTGCCTTGTCTAAACCTAGTAGGTCTAGACAAGGCAAGCTGGCTGTAGTCTTCGGCAGGCACAGCCACAGAAAGAGTAACAAGGTATTCACATAGGACACATGTACGTATATACATTTTAGAACATTTTGTATCAGTGTGAGTCTAACAGAAAGTCAATTTAAGGAAGTGCAAGATGTCTCTTACCTTTAAGTGTCCGAATATGCATTGCTAAGTCACTCTTAGTGCTGTACACATCCTCGCAGGGTGGCCGCCTGCACATCATGCTGACATCACTCTGCACAAGCCAATCTGCCACCTTGCTCTCAGCTGACAGAACCTCTGTGGGTGTGGCTGCCAGAGAATTACTGGGCTGCAGCTGCTTGCTACGCTGACGAGAGGAGAACTTGGTCACGTGATCCTTGATTTTAATCTTGCCTGGCATGCAGTCATCAAACTCGATAGTAAAAGAAGCATGACTTTGGACAACTGGAGGAGTAGAAATCAGAGAAACATTGGTGTCTTTGGTTGGGATGTCAATCAAATCCGTCGTTGGGGACTTGGGTTGCATATGGAACTCCTTTGTTGGAATTTCAAAATAGCTGGGCTCTCGATGGTACAGGTAGGTTGACTTGGCCTGGCCGTCACGGATCTCTTGAACAGAGACGTTAAATTCATCCTCAGCTATCTCCTTTGTGATCTCTGTCAACAGACACCCACACCAAACTATGAATATGGTAATAAGACAAATGTCCATATTAAAAACTCATGAAAGTGTCCGTAAGGGAGGACAAGTGCTTACCTGAATGATTATCCCCTGACCTTTGTACTTCATTGTGTGCTCCCTTGTTCCCAGAGTCCTCCTCACCCCACCATGATGGCTGTCCATACAATGGTGTTGGCCGGGGGACAGGGGACTCTGAAGAGGAACACATGTAAACACAGAAAGAGAAAGAGAGATGATGAGTTAGGTATTGTTACGTCCCAGGGTGTTCTAATTTCATTTGTTGTGAGAAAATGCTCGGTGTCCCTGTGTTGTGCTCTGTTCCTCACTCTCTCACTCAGGTTAATTACCATCAGCTGCAACTCATTGTGAGCATGCCTAATACTGAGCAGAGGAGTATAAATGGTGCACTCACAGAAGCCAATGCTGTAGTGTATAACACTCTCCCCAGCCTTAGACTGGAAATTGTCTATGTGTGTTTGTGCACGCTGAGTGAGAACCAGTGCTTACCTTTGAGTTAGGACTGGGATCTATGCTCATTTGCTGTGTGGCAACAACAGTTACTTATTGGCTTACCAGTTTGTAACATTCTAGTGTTAAATTTTTACCTGTGGGTAACTAAAAAGTATTGTGAAAGCAGGTATTAACTTAATTTTCTGTTGGTAAAAGGTATTGTATCTCTTCTTATTAGCTCTGTTTACTTGTTTATGATTATCTGGGAAATGTAGGGAGAGGGTGCCTTTTTTATTATTTTGTGTATATTTTTCTCCTGTTTTTGGCTCGAGAGAAAGCTCAGGGAAGTTTGTTGATGGTTTTCATCTTTGTTTTTGTGCAGGGTAGGTAGCTCCCTTAAAGTTAGCTTCTGTCCTGTTTATTATTTTAGGCTCATAGTCTCTCCTGAAGATTTATTCCAAACTTTTGTTAAGCTTTTTGATATACAAAGGAAATAAATACTTTTACTTTTCTTTAAAGTTGTGTTATGTTTTCACTTTGAGACTGAGGCTGAAGTGTGTTCTCCATGTATTTTTACGTCTCTACGTTACTTTTTATTATCATTTTCCTTTCCTTTGTTACCTCCTCTCCTGACCCCTAGACTGGGAGGGGATTGTAACAATTGGGGGCTTGTCCATTCCCGTTACATGTTAAGCACAAGCAATTCTTTAACACTTCATCACTGAGCTGCTCCTACTTTCTGACAGTTTACTATAACACAAAATATATAGACTGTCCTCATTCCAAACATCTAGTATCCTGGGAATATTTCTATTATATTTTCTAACATATTAGCCATATGACCTGAAACAAGTTTTCTTGTGTCAAGTCAAGTCACCTTTACTTATATAGCGCTTTTTACAATACAGATTGTTTCAAAGCAGCTTTACAGAGATAACAGGAAAATAATGCAAAAAAGTTTTACGGCTTTAAAACAGATCTAGAAGAAAATAGTGTCATAGTCCAGCTTACGTAAGTTCAGTGATGGTTGATTTTTGTTAGAAAAAAGTTATTAATTTAGTTAATTTATATATATATATATATATATATATATATATATATATATATATAGCCGCTCTGGAGAAAACAGTGATGTCATCGCCCCTCAGTTCAGTTCTCCATTATATGAGAACTGAACTGAGCTGGGCGATGACATCACTGTTTTCTGCTGACAGAAAAATCTACTGCAGGCAGATCAGATTGTGAAAATTTAATGTCCAGTATACAGGACGTTAAGTAGGCTTTTAAGTGTCTATATTACACAATAATATAATTGTTAACCACTGCATGGTTAACAAAAAATAATACATCATATTAAATGTAAACCATTAGTATTACTCTTTGCATACTAACTATACTATGCATAATTTCAAAAGTTTTGATTATTAATATTTCAATATTTTATCTCAAACAAACTCAACCCTCATGTTGATTTTTCTATTTCAGTTTCTTTGTAATAAAAATAGATATTACATATATAGAAACTAGTGATGTCAGACTTTTAGACACCACTATATATAGATTTAATGAGCTTTTCAGCACATACGGGTTGAGTGGTCCATGAGCCATGTGATGCCAACAGATGCTCATTGATGTATGTGTCAATGCAGTGCAGCAGCTGGACTAAGGCATTAGGATTATCTTTCGTATCTGTCACCTGACCAAAAGGTCAACTAGGAGGGGTTTACAAACAAACCAGGCCACCGTATACTGCAGTCTTACAGATAAACCGAGATTAACAAATGCTGTAGATAAGAGACAGAATCTTGTTGTTAGATACCCTCTGTACTACATGTTACAAAGTTTTTTTTTAAAAATCTTTTTACCACTCTCTCAGTCAGTCTTTTTCTCCTGACTTTGGTCATTCTTCATCACTCTCACCTGTGAGACTCTTGCGTTCAGAACGATCTAGTTTGGTCTTTTCTTCCTGCAGGTTCTGTTGCTTCCCCTCTGCAGATTTTATGTCCATCTGCAGCTGACTGGTGTACTTCTCATGCTGACTCAGCAGGGGGCAGTCCACCAAAATATTAAATGTATAAAACATACATAATTATTTTTTATATGCTTCAGATAAAAAGGACACACACTCACAAACAGGTAGAACCATACCTTGAGGGCCTCTTCGGGGACTTTATGTTGACTCTTCTCGAGAATATACACATGTGAATGTGCTCTTCATGTTAAGTCAGTACATTACAACTTAGATGTATACAAATCTTCTGAATACCTGTATCTTAAGCAGACAGGAATTGAAATCATGATAACACAGTCTCTCCAAAAGATTGTACAGAGAATGCTCAAGAAATTAGACAACAGACAACAACCAAATTTAAGGTTTCATGCTTTGGCATGCATAGAAAAGCTAATCAGATAAAGGATATCATATCCAAAACGAACGATGTCCGACAGCTTGAGGGTTATGTATGTTTGGTCTGGAATTCTCAAGTCATTCACAAAGGTCTGAAATTAGAGAAGAAAAACAAATGATGTATATGTGCCTGAGATATTGGAATGCCACAGCGAATGAAGGCAGCTTATTAGGGAAAATGCTTCAACTCCAATCTGAAAGGGGGGAAAAAATCATTTATATTAGTAATTAATTTAGCAGATTATTTTTTATCTAAAGCGATAAATAAGGAACATCACAAGAAATTAGTCCAGATTTAACAATATTCATAGTACAGAATCTACTTTTGTGTTCCGCAAAAGAAAGAAATGCATAGAGTTTCAGTACGATATGTGAGTGTGAATGCACTGTAAAAAGTAAACGTGCAGTTTTTGCTTTTAAGGAGGTATTTCTACCTGATTCAAAGTCAACAAAGTCCAATTTTGATGTTGTAACCTATACTTCAATCAAGTTTATGTAACATAAAACAAGGGAATGCTAATTTAACTTAATTGAGTTAGATTGACCCAATATACAATTCCCAATAAAGCTCAGCATGGACACATGCTGAACTCCTTGCTCCATCAGCTCCTTGCTGATCGGTAGATTTTGCTTTAGTGAGATATCGTGATTTGGGGTTATTTAACGCATTAAGCAGCGTAAAAGTGAAAATCACAATTGACAGCGCTACTCTTCACTACAATGATAACCACAACATCCAATAACAGAAAATCCTCAAAATGTCCAAATGAACGTTAAAAATTAACATAAACTACCAACATCTTTCCCTTTACTGTAAAACACATAAAATAACACTTAATGCCTAAATTTACTCTCCTAACGCAGCAAGGCATGCTGGGAACTACAGATCCACTACCCAGGGCTGTGTTTCTCAAAAGCATCGTGAGAAAATATTTTTATATTTTTTTCTATCTTCGAAATTCGGGTAATGAATTATTTTTTGAGTGTGTATCAAGGTGTTAAAGGACTTTCATCAAATAAAACAAAAAAGATTATATCAAACTTAAGTAATTTTGCCTAGCTGGATAAAACCAGTTATTGTAGATGTTACCACATGGAGTACATTTTCTGAGTTGAACTGACTGAAAAAAAAAATCTGTGTGTGAGAGAGTGATGAAAGAATTTTTGCGTGAACTCTCCCTTTAAAGTTCCCGTGAACCAGAAGTTGTAACCGTTGTAACCGAGTTCATGGAACTTCAGTGTTGCGACGTATTTCCAAGTGAAATGGAATATTGAATAGAGAGGGGGTCACCTCCTCTCCATGCCTGGCTCATAGCAGACTGATGGTTGGAGGGGAGTGAGTGTTTAAGGATATTCAACCCAAGCCGTCAAACTGACGTCATCAGAGAAGGAACGCCATTCTAGAGCGGAAACACCACGACAAACTAATTTTTTTCAGTTTATTAACAAGCACAGATTAATTGTTTATCACAAGATTAGTAATAGTAATGCGCCAACAAAGTAAATAGTGTCAATTTTGATTTCATAACGACTTAGAGAAAGTTTCCTATCCTAACTAACACATTTGTCATTGGGACTGGGTCTGATGGGTTAATTGATTCTCTCTGTACTGCAGTGACAGCACCAGCAATAACTTTAAGCTTTTAAGTCTGCAACATCACCATAGTGGCAATATGTCTGTTACTTCTGTCCATTTTATTTTTAAAACCAAGGGGAAAGAGAATACAGATTGTCTTTCACAGATAATGTCACTGTTAAAATGCACTCATGTTTTTATGACAGTAACAGTCACAATCGCCATGTTGCCTTTTGTTTAAAAGCTTACCCCATTTAAACTTCCAAGATCCTTCACAAGGTGCTCATCTGTGGCAGGGTTATAGTTGATAACCGCATGCTGTTTATCCACACTCCGAGACTAAAGATGAAAAAGACATCTATATTAGCCATCTTGATCATTCTTTACACTTTTTCACTCCACCCAAACAATCCTCTCATACATGTTTGAGGCCTCCCAGCTGGAAATGGTAATGCTCTTTTAGCAAAGTAAACATAAGTTCCCACATAGCAACACTGTTTCGGCCCAGATCCGGCCCACATCTGGCACTTGTGGAATACTGATCTGGCCCACATGCAGCGTGGAATGACGGCCCTTGGGTGGCCCACTCCTGTTTGCCAGATCTGGGCCACAAGCAGGCCATAGCAATGCCAGATGTCAGCCAAGAGCAAATAAATAAACCAGAACAGGAACTTATCTGAGCCACACAATCTGTGTATATTAAATATGGAGTCATCTCAGCCTAAAAAGCCTGTTAACAAGCAGAATCACTGAAGGAAAGAAGAGAACAGAAAAAGAGACGCGCAGAAACACAAGAACTACAACTGACTTCAGACACAGTCTTAGATGAAATCAACTGAAGATAAAAGAAGACATTAAATCTGTGAAGATCTCAGCAGAGGAGGAATAAACAACTCCACAAACAGCATTACCAGCTTCACTTATTACTAACCAGACTGACTTTATTTCTGTCAGACGTCTACAAAAGGTTTTATTGAGAATTAACAGAGGTTTAACTCTAATGTGTTTCATTAGAAGTCACCATAACAGTGATTATTGTTTCCATTAGTTGGCCTCTTAACTCTTACTATATCTTTTGTCTTTTTTGGCCACTGTGACAGTGTGTTTGTCAAACACATTTGCAGCAGCAAAGAAAGCTAAAGCTAAAGTGAAATGAGATCAGGTGATGATGGTTACCTGATGATGTCTTTATAATCATAAAATAACCTGATTTTCTGATGTCAATTGATTCTTATCAAACCAAACAATCTCATTGTGGATGGGGATTCAGATGGCAATTCAATTACCACACGACCTGTTTGTAAAAAAACAGTAGGTAATTTGAAAATACACTAACATTATGGATTCGGACGGCAAAAAAATCATGGACTTACCCCTGTAAATGTTTAATGTTTGAAATACCGTACGAGAAACAGTTAGCATCCGAATAGGACTTAACTGACAGTTCACTGGCCTTTGAAAGCGCTCTGCAGATGGGGCCGTCTTTTAGTACAACTATTCGCTGTATCGCTGCCATAGCAAACTCCCCACCACAATCTTTCCCTTTAAATAGACTATTAAGCCTTTAATGGTTTTCCAGCTATACCTTTGGATAATATAATTAAAAATTAACAACTAGTGTAATGACAATTTTATTCTTTGCATGAAAACACTTGAATTAGCCTAATTGAACACTGTCTGGGTGTATTAAAACTTCAGAATTTTATTTGCATAGACCTGCAACAGTGATAAGGTAAAGCTAAGAGTGGTCTAGTACTTAGTAGCAAGTTTTCTATGAAAGCTCCTTTCCATAGACAGTATAAGTGGACAGAGCCATCTCATTGGAACTCAGTTGAGACAGTTGAAGCCCATTTTTAGCGATTTTTGAGCACTTCCGTTCCTGACGCGCAGACTCAAACCGACTCAAACTAAGCTTGATGACGTGAGCAACCTGTCTGACAGACGTTAATCTTCTAGTAGCTGTGCGTGAAAATTGCCAACGTTAATCTTGCAGAGACGGGGAACTTGAGCAAAGAGTTCTTTGGCGTGAGTGAGCAGGAGTAAGTATTCCGTTGCTTTTATGGACTCATTATCTATGGGCTTCTCCCTTGACGGGACGTCCCCCCGATTGCCTGCGAGCTTCTCCTCCTGTCTGTACGGTAATTTCTGTACAGCGCGACAGAGAGTCGAGTGGTTATGACGCAATCGTTAGCCTATTTTTACTAAATCTGTTTCTACGGGGCCATAATGTAACATAGAAGGTAATGGAGCCCTTTATACATTGTCGTGTTTCTTTAGAAATAAATAATGGACAAATGGAGTCTTTAAACGCCTCAGATGTAAAGTTATTCGCTGTCAAAGTGACGCCAAAATGAATGGGAGTCAATGGAAATGCTAACGCAAGTGAAGTTCTGCTACAACATGGCGGCACCCGGCCGGCTTCAACTTCCGGTCGATGGATTACCCCCTTGCTCCTTTCCGCGAAGGAATAAATAAAATAAAAAAGGTAATTGCAACTTTTTATCTCACAATTCTGACTTTTTTTTTCACGGTATTGCAAGATATACATTTGCAATTGTGAGTTTATATCTCACAATTCTGACTTTTTTATCAATTGCGAGTTAGGTAACTTTTGTAAAAAAACATTTTTTTACATATTTGTTAAAACTGTCATTATGTCCTGACAGTAGAATATGAGACAGATAATCTGTGAAAAAATCAAGCTCCTCTGGCTCCTCCCAGTGGTCCTATTGCCATTTGCAGAAATACACCGCTCCCGGTCAGAAACAACCAATCAGAGCCAGGAGGAATGTCTTAGCAGTGTCAATCACGCTCGTGTACGCGCTGATCACACCCCTCTCTTGCACAGCGCGAGCCGTCGTTCAAACTCAAGATTGCCGGTGTGCTGCAGCTGTGCTAATGGCGGAGAAACAACATAAACTGCCAATTTCTCGAGTGGCACCTGCTCATAAAACAAAGACGGGTAAAAGGAAAAAGACTGATGACGATAAACAAGCGAAAAAGAAAGAATTAGACAGAGCCCATTGACTCGGTGTCAAAACTCTAGCCGCGTAACATGTAGATAAAATGTCACGCACTGTGCAAAGCAACAATTGAAACCTGCTAATTCACTGGCTTGTCATGTTGCTGAAATAATGTACTAGCAAACCTTATCTAGCATTATAGGCCTACATATCGCTAGAATAATTACTTACATACTGTTACATTAGTTACCGTTATATTATCTTACTAGCTATTTATAATTTATAGAAAGGGTGCAACGTTATAAAGTTACATTACATGTATTGCAAAATACGTAATGATTTGAGGACCAAGTCTGTAGTCAAAGTATGGGCAGGCCATAGTCAATGTAAAGCATATTGTTGATGTTTCGTCCCTACTAGTGAATGTGCCGTAACTGTTTATCCGCCGTCATCGGTGGCCCTGTTTACTAGCCTGCGCATTCACGACGGGCTCCGCTGTGGGGGAGGAGCTGTGGAGGGAGGGCTGTAGCGCAGCAGAGAGCAAGGGGGTGGGACCTGTAAGTTGTGCTTGTTCAAATTTTCAGGCTGTCAACTTTTTTCAAAACTACCTACTGCAGCTTTAAGTCCAATTCTGAGGAAACAAATGTTTTATCTCGCAATTCTGACTATAACTCGCAATTGTGTTTATATCTTGCAATTCTGAGAAAAAGAAAGAAATGGTAGCTTCTGCCACTGAATAAAAAAAGACAAAAAGTAATTGCGAGTAATTCTCCTTTTATCCACATGTTTTTTTATTTGAATTGACTCTAAATAAGTCAAGCATTTGCTAAGGCATGTTGCATAAAGAAAAAAGATGATGATAATGGTTGAGCAAGCAGCACATTTTACTCCAGACTTTGTGGGATTCCAATAAACAGATCAAAACTGATATGTTGACTCATTTTGTTGACTCGTGTTGACACTTAATTTATCCACATCAGGAAGTGAGCACTGGGTTTCGGCTCACACCAATGGACCATTACTGACACAAGCTCATAAATCTGTTCTCCCAACAACAGTACTTCAACATGACACAACACAAAATAATACAGCTGTAGTGCTAGCTTTGTAGACCATTTCAGCTATTTCTTCCAGAATATGTTAAAATAACTACAGATAGCATAGCTGTTCAAATTCAAAATTCTACATATTATTTTGAAGAATTATATGTAGTTATTAAGTACAATCTTCAAATTATTTTAATGTATGAAAACTTAAACATGCTTGTGTTCAGCCATGAACACTAAGCTGTCACTATAACACTAGCTGCCACCATGGCAACACTTCCTGATGATTCACAAATGAATCTGAGACACACTTTTTACACTTCAGGGAAGGAAGGGCACATGAAAACCCTACCTGCAGCATGAGCTCGCAGTCCTCCCGTCCAACAAAGATCATTTCCCGTGGCAGACGGTGACGAGTACCAGAGCTGCTGACCAGGAACCATGATGTCACACTCATCTTTGTTGCTCAGAGAAACCCCTTTGCATCCTGTAAAAGATTGTTTCTTGAGAAGAAATACAGGTTTTATGTAATATTTTAATACTAGAAGGAGAAAACTGTTAATTGTACAGTATGTTACTGTAAAAATACCATGCACTAAATTAAAACTCGAGTTAACGAATTTCATTTGTATTAAATTGACCAATACATTGACCAGTATATACCTATTTTTAACTTACAGTTTGTTGCTGTTAAAATACATTTGGTGGGTGTGTCTTTTTATTTTACACTATTAACCCTTTCAACCCGACAGGAAAATACTGTAGTGTCCACACTACAAAGAGTAAAAGTAACATTTACGCAGTGTTGCAGTGAGATAATTAAGTGAATATGTAAGTGATTGTTGAACATTAATGATGAACACCTGCTGTTAACAAGCAGAATCACTGAAGGAAAGAAGAACAACAAGAACTACAACTGACTTCCAGCCATTACACTTTTTATTAAACAGTATGACTTTATTTCTGTCATACAGAAGTTCTTATTGAGATAGAAAACTATTTCACATGATTATCTTTGTTTGTTTTGTAGTTTTCTTTGCAACAAATTATGCGTTTTAATAAACACTACTACAAAGACCACAAACTCACCTAAAAGCCAAGAGTCAAACTGCCCAACTAAAGCAAACACTGATCACAATAATGGTGACTGAAATTTTTCACTAAAGCATCAACATGTAAACCTCTGTTGATTCTCAAAAATAACTTCTGCTGAGATCTTGAGAGATGTATTGTCTTCTTTTATTTCCAGTTGATTTCAGGCTGTTATAGTTTCATTTTCTGAGAGTGGAAACATGATGTTGAACCAACATCACATTGTAACATTGATTCAATGCTATTACCATTGATTTTTGGATGAAATACAATTAAAAAAAATCAACAGTCAATGCAGTTAAAATTGACACATTTACATTGTTTCGATGGTTGCTATCTAACTGGGACCCTAATCAAACACACCTGAACCAGCTAATCAACGTCTTCAGGATTACTAGAAAGCTACAGGGAGGAGAGTTTACCAGGATTGGAGCCAAACTCTGCAGGACCGTGACCATCCCTGATAGCCTCTTCATTCATTGATCTTTTTCAGAGTTTAATCCTCTATCAAAAGTGTTACATTACCATCATTGTAAAACTACAGCAAGAGTTACAACAAAAATCAATTACAATGAAGACTTTCTTTAGCCACATCATTCTTAAACAACCCCCGAAATACTCAGATATCAAAAATCAACACATGAATTTCAACAATGGTGCCAATAAAAACTAGAAAATTAGACAGGAAGAGATCAGTGAATGTCTTTTGTTTTTGCTTGTCTCTTCAGTGATTTTGTTTATCAGGTGTTCATCAGTGGCTGAATTCACTCACTACTTTTAATTTACTCTGTTAAGTGGACTATATTAGTATATTTTTCTTCTATAGTATCAACCTGTTTTTATGGAAAATGGTATGATACAGTCAGAATTTAGCATTTCTTTTACAGCAAGAGCCAAAATAAAGCAAACACTGATCTCCATAATGGTATCAAACCAAACATTTTCAATTAAACATTTCAAAAAGAACTTCTGTAGATGTATGACAGAAATAAAGTCAAACTGGTTAATAATAGGTGTAATAATGTCTAATGGCTGGAAGTCAGTTGTAGTTCTTGTTGTTCCTCTTTCCTTCAGTGATTCTACTTGTTAACAGCAGGTGTTCATCACTAATGCTCAACAATCACTTACATATTCACTTAATTGTCTCACTGCAACACTGCTTCAATGTTACTTTTACTCTTTGTAGAGTGGACACTGTATTTCCCTGTGGAGTTGAAAGGGATAACAGTTTAAGATAAAAAGACACACCCACAACATGTATTTTAACAGTAATAAACTAAGTTAAAAAAAAACATATTACTATAAAATTTTGATTTTCTGGGTCACCATTGTGCTGAAGAGAAGAACCTCTTGGCAAATTAAATTAATTAATTCAATGTTTTAATCTAGTGCATGGTATTTTTACAGTAACATACTCTAGATTAATGTGAGAACTGTACAATTAACAGTAAATTACAGGCAAAGGTGTTTCCAGTATTTTACCATTAATTTGAGGGACAATGTTTTATAATGGCAGCAATTTGCTGCATGTAAATTTGGTCAAGCAAGCCTTCAATAATTCACCTTAATTTAAGACTGTAAGTATATAGTCATTATTTATTCCTCACAATTGTGCAAAACTTCATGTACCTATACCCTAACATAGAACTATAGACATGTGTTCTTGTTTTAACTGAAGTTCGGTTTTCTCAAAATGGAAGCTTAACAGTTGCACATTTACTGACAGTTTTAACGTTATTAGATAAGACAGCTGTCTAGACATATTACGTCGAAATAACAGCCTATTTTTCAGATTTTATTTGAAAAGGTAGTTGTTTCATAAAAACAAAGGAGGAAATTTAGATGTCTAAACAGCTGATAAAACGTTTTTTTTTAAAGATATTTTTAAAATGTGCCAAAAACCTGTACATGGTATGAAAGCTTTGATATTTTAGCAGGCCAGCAGATAATTCATTTTTCATCTGTTCGTCTCAAAGAGACGATGCTATCAATTATTCATATCATACACACACAATTTTTATGCTATTAGTGAACAATACGATTCAGCATGCACGCATAGTTTTTTTGTATTTTATGTCACATTTGCATTAGATCGGGCCTGTCTGCTCCATGCGATCATACAGTAAGTGAGTCTGAGCAATGGGTTGGTGATGGAGGATCAGCTGCCGTCGCAAGAGAGACGCCTTCTGCTGCCTTATTTCTCTCTCTCCTCCACAATTACATCAGACATCAATGTTACATTGATACGTCAACCAAAATCCACGAATTTACAGATATTTAGCCATATTGATTATAGTAGCTGAATTAAGAGATCTCCGATCTGAATTTATTCGCGTAATTCAAGCGCATATAGCCTACATGAATCGTTATAGTAACACATGAACCTTTCTGTATTGTGAAATAGATACATCTAGTGCGCATCTGCCCTTTCATCCACAGCCTCCGATGACACTGAATATCCTCCGACCTTACCTACTCGACTCCAGATGCGCTGATCTCTCCCAGATAAACAAACCAAACGTCTTCTTCTTGCTTTCCCTAATGCGATAGGCGCTTCCCCGGCTGCACCGTTATTCTGTGAAATCCAGTTTAAAGGTCGTGGATTCTCATCAGTGTTGTGGTTCCATGTAGACAACACCCTCTCCCGTTAGACACGGATCATGCTGTCATGGCATCTGCGTCCAGCGCCGCCACCGGTGCGTGTGTACATGCAGAGACTGCAACACCAGTGCGCTGAACAACCACGCACCCGCGTGGAGTTCAATAGAAATATAAAGCTGGCCGTGCTTATTGGCAGCTATTAAAGAAAATGTGCATTAATTCCAAACACTTTATAGCTAACTTCAAATTTGATAAATATTCAACGAATTCTTTTTTTTTTCAGTCCATATTTCACCACATATTAATTTTATAGATTTTTTTTAAATGAAGAATATGGGTAACCAAAAATGTAAAGTTATTGCCGAAAATGTATAACACTAATCATTTTATAGGTTGATGCAGGCAAAGGACAGATTTAAAGGGATAGAAAACCCAAAAATAAAAATTGTGTCATCATTTACTGGCCCTCAAGTTTTTCAAACCTGTATGAATTTCTTTCTTCTGCTGAACACAAAAGGAGATATTTAGAAAAATGTCAGTAAGCAAACAGTTGATGGACCCCATTTACTTCCATAGTTTTTTCTTCTTCTCCATATGGAAGTCAATGGGGCCCATCAACTGTTTGGTTTGAACATTCTTCAAAATATCTTCTTTTGTGCTCAGCAGAAGAAATTCTTACAAGTTTGGAACAAATTGAAGGTGAATAAATTATGACAGTATTTTAAACAATACTACAGTTTAAAATAATGGATTGATTAAAATTTCTATGATCAAATAACCATGATCGTGCAATATTTCATTTTTATTTTTAAATAAAAAAATTATTTTATTAATATACTGTCATAAAATGCACCGTATTTTGTTCCTGTGCTGTAATCCAAATATACAGGATATGATGCTTTGTGTGACTAACTTTTGTAGAGTGAGATTTAAAAGTTGTATGTGAATATTTATGACAGTCTAATGCAGTTGATCTGCGCTGAAAAAGCAGCAAAGAAGAGCCTGTTGTTTGTGCTTGTGGATCCACCTGTGATGCGGTTGATTGTACTGATTGCTGTTGAACTCAGGTCTGAGAATTGGAGATTGATCATTTCCTATCTCTCTCAAGTTATTACAGGAACAGATCCAAATTTAAACTTTTATTCAGGGATTTATTCTCCTTCCTCTCTACTGATCGTAAAAAAGATCAATGACTGTCAGCTACGGCTGCCAAACAAAACCGTAAAATTAAATTAATTAAAGTGCAAAAGTGTATACAGAATTTTTTCTTTAATGATTTACAGACAAACACTGTTATTTTACAGGTATTTCCTGGATTAATTCAAATGACTGGCAGCAACAGAACATTAAACATTAAGAGATCTCTCAAGATTTTAGCATCTTCATTTATTACAATCCAGTTTGACTTTTATTTCTTTTATACAAAAGTTCTCATTGAGAGGTTTAGGTGTGGATGTCTAATTGAAATGTTGATGTTACCAATATGGTGATCAGTGTTTGCTTCAGTTGGGCTCTTGACCCTTGACTTTGTAAAATTATTGTTTAAATAAGTGTTAATGTGACAATCTGGTATTCAGAATGTTAAGTCATTATACCAAAAATGTTTTGAGGTGACAATCAACAAAGCTTTTTTGTGACGTTCAGAGTTGATCTGAATTTTATTTTATTGACACCATTGTTGCGATTTATATACTGATTCTTGATGTCTGTGTGAGGCAACATGACTCTGTCAAAACATTTTCTGCATTATGACTTCATACAAAGTTTTAGAGTATCACAGAACTGCAACACTTTGATCTCACAGTGATCTCACCATGTAGTCACATACTGTCTTTCCCAGCTAACAGACTTATGTTATAAGAGCGTTCTCCAAATATTCAGTGTTGGTTCTGAGAACGTGAAAAATGTCCAGTTTTCTTAACGTTAGAGGAACATGTTTTAAAAGGTATAATGTTCCTCAAACGTTCTTTCAACTTAATTTTGATTTAAAATTCAACATTCTAGGAACTTTGATTTCTAACATTCCAAGAACATAAAAATGTCCAGTTTCCGTAATGTTACTAGAATGTTATTTAAAGGTTAGTATGATGTTCCTGAAACATTCTTTCGATCATCTTTCGAAAGAGTAATAAGAACACAAACTACAACTTTCTTCAGAAACAGCCTTAGATGAACTGAAGATAAAAGACATGAACTCTTCAAGATCTGATTAAACAACTCCACAAACAGCATTACCAGCTTCACGTATTACTAACCTGGAGTGCGTTTCCCGAAAGCATCGTTGGCCAACTATGATCGGAATTTCCATTGAACTCTATTGGTAACGACGGAACTTGCGACCATAGTTGGCTTTGGGAAACGCACCCCATACAGTAAGGGAGATATTGTCAAAATGTCACCTGTAGTAAGTCACACTGGTCATTAGGAAAGTACTACAACATTTGGAATGTGGAAAAATAGTTACAGTCATTTACAGTTAATTTTTCATAAACATATTTGACAATAGCACATACAGTATGGGAGTTATTGTCAAAATTTCACCTGTAGTAAGTCAGTCAGGTCACTAGGAAAGCACTACAGCCTTTGAAACAGGAAAAAATACTTTAGGGGTATTACTGTAATTTTTTCTTGAACTTATTAGTTTATTGTACGTACAGTAAGGGAGTTATTGTCAAAATTTCACCTGTAGTAAGTCAGTCTGATAACTAGGAAAGCACTTCAGCCTTTGAAACAAGAAAAAATACTTTAGGGGAATTACAGTAATTTTTTCTTCAACTTATTAGTTTATTGTACGTACAGTAAGGGAGTTATTGTCAAAATTTCACCTGTAGTAAGTCAGTCTGATCACTAGGAAAGGACTACAGCCTTTGAAACAGGAAAAAATGCTTTAGGGGAATTACAGTAATTTTTTCTTGAACTTATTAGTTTATTGTACGTACAGTGAGGGAGTTATTGTCAAAATTTCACCTGAAGTAAGTCAGTCTGATAACTAGGAAAGCACTACAGCCTTTGGAATATAAATATAAAAAAACACTATAGGTGAATTAAAGTTTATTACATAAACATATGTAATAAACACACGTAATAATGTTTATTACATAAATATATTTGATAATTGTACAGTAAGGGAATTATTGTCAAAATTTCACCTGTAGTAAGTCAGTCTGATCACTAGGAAAGGACTACAGCCTTTGAAACAGGAAAAAACACTTTAGGGGTATTACTGTAATTTTTTCTTCAACTTATTAGTTTATTGTACGTACAGTAAGGGAGTTATTGTCAAAATTTCACCTGTAGTAAGTCAGTCAGGTCACTAGGAAAGCACTACAGCCTTTGGAACAGGAAAAAATACTTTAGGGGTATTACTGTAATTTTTTCTTGAACTTATTAGTTTATTGTACGTACAGTAAGGGAGTTATTGTCAAAATTTCACCTGAAGTAAGTCAGTCTGATCACTAGGAAAGCAAAAGCCAAATAACATAGAAGGGGTAAACAACTAACAGTTGAGAACTCAAGAGCTAAGGACAAAATCCCCCCTGACTCATGGTGAGACATGGTATGGCCTAATGAGCTGACTCCCGGATATAGGTCTCCTCAGCCCTTAGCCACTCCTTTCGCCCAACCAGGAAGGGACCGCCCCCCAACAGGTGCAAGTAGCGAATTTTTTTTTTGCAGGGTGGTAGGGGAAGAATCATTAATATTCATTGGGGAACTCATCCGCAATTGGTTCGCTGTCACACGTCACTCAGATTGACATGGCAGGTCAAGACGGTGTCCCCGCAAAGATACAGAAGTTCGCGAAGTTCGTGAGCGGTCTCCGCACAAATCTCCCGGATTTGGATAACCAAATGTTGACAGGTATGACTTACCTTCATGAAAGTGTCTGTTGTCACGAAGGAGACGATGTCTGTTTTCTCTATCACATCTCATTAGAGATGCGTCACGGCGAGCCAATCAGGGACGAGTTCCCCAATGAATATTAACGAGTCTTCCCCTACCACCCTGCAAAAAAAAAAATCGCGTCCAGCTAACTCAACACAAAGAAACATGTGGGCGCTCCCCGCCCCCTAACGCATTTCAGCCAATCGCTGCAAAATCCACCATTGCCAATCTGTTTACAGTTAGCTAGCTGAGCGTGTCCGGCCGGCGGCAAAGAAAATCCCTAGCAGCTAGTGTTGGCTATATTTCAAAGCATAGTCATTTTTTTTTAATAATAAAACATTTCATTATGAATTCAGATCTTAGAATATTGCTCTATGCAACTTACCGTACCAAGTTGAGTGGAGTCAAGATCGATCGCTCGTTGGTTCTCAAAGTTGAATACGAGCACCATTGTTGCGATTGGCTGAAACGCGGTAGGGGGCGGGGAGCGCCTTCCATGCAGCGCTGCACACACACGGACGAAGGTGTCGCCATAACAACGGCATGGGAAGGCAGGAGGGGCATATGAATAGCCACCACCAGCAACCCCCAGCAACGAACCATCTGCCATAGCTATAGACCAAATGACCATTACATAAAGTCACAAATCTATGCGCTAACTAGTTAGCCAAATACATACCTCAGGCGGACGAGATGAAAACAAACCGGAATGGGCGGTCCCCGGCAATGACGCACAGGCGGTGACCCACACACCCACAAACGTGCATTCGGTTCCTTTTAAACGCTGCCTCGCAGAATATGATTGGACAGTACATTACCCGCGAGTATTGAATTAAAAATAACGAGACTCTGTACGTCCCACTACACCAGCAAAATAAATTTAGCGAGGAAATTTCTGCTCTTTCATCTGGGAAAGTGTCAGTGATTCGGTAAAGTCCTATTTTTCGGTTGGATCCATTTTTGGACGATGGACTGTTAAGAGTTGGAGGAAGACTGAGTAAAGCAGCTATGCCTAAAGAGGTCAAGAATCCGCTTATACTTGGTAAAGATCAGCATATTTCTATGCTTATTCTGAAACATGTGCATTAAAGTCTGGGTCATGGTGGGCGAAGCCATACGTTATCCACAGGTTGGATGAAATTTTGGATTACTTGATCATTTCTGGTTGTGGCTTTTGTAGACGCCATAATAAAAGAGCAGTTGAATAAAAAATGGCAGATCTTCCAAAGGAG